TAAAAAAAAAAATAAAAAATATATAAATAAATAATAAAACCACCTAGCACCTGGGCTATGGGCCTAGGTGCTATGGACCTAAACATCCCTTAGAAGAAGAAATAAAAATAGCTATAAAATACTTTTTAAAAAAAAAATCCTTAGCATTACATTTAAATTTCTTAGCTAAATTTATTTACAACTTGGAGCTAAGAAATGTTTTATTGTTTTCTTTGAATTCCATATATATTTTTTCAGAAATTTTTCATTTTGATAGAGTATTTCCTGTATATTCTACGGAATATGGGTGAAATGATTTTGTTTAGAGACAAAGTTCCAAGTTCAAAACAGTCCTATGAGAATTTTTGTTTGTTCGTTTGATTTCTTTTCTGGGATAGAATCTCCTAATGTAGCCAAGGCTGGCCTTGAATTCATGATCTTCAATTTACCATGTGCTGGGATTACACACATGTATGACCATGCCCTGTTACCATGGGCTCTTTAGAAACCTAAACTATTGTCACACAACGTTTGGAAATCTGTTTTCCATTCCTTTATAAATAAACAAAACATTGTTTTGAGAAAAAAAATATCCGAAGGAAGAATTTTGAATGCCTTTATCATAAAGAAATGATAAATGTTTGCGAAGATAGCTAATTTTTTGTTGTTTTTTTCGAGACAGAGTTTTCTGTGTAACAGTTCTAGCCAGATCTGTCCCCAGGACAGCCTTAAACTTCTGGGACATCTATCCCAGGATGGCCTTAAACTTAGTAGAGATCTCTGCCTCCTCTGACTCCCAAGTGATGGGACCGGTGGCATCACCGGTCAAAGGAGGTAGCTCTTTTAAAAACCTGATCTGAGTATCACACAATGTGTACAAATATTGAAACATCACATGGACACCCCTAAAAAATAATCTTCCATATTCCCGTTTATCAGTTAAAATGCAAAAATGTCTCCCCTTCTACAATATGGGTCTCTGGGTTCTACAATATGATCTCTAGGTGGTGAGATTTGGCTCATCACCAAATCTCACCAATAGGTAAATGGATAAAGAAAATGTACATTTACACAATGGAATATCACTTAGTTATTTAAGAAAAATAAAAGAAAAATATGCAATTTTCAGGTAAATAGATAGAGCTAGAAAAAAAATTATCCTGAGTAAGGTAATCCATATCTACAAAGACAAATATGGTATGTATTCTCCTATATGTGAATGTTAGCTTTTAAGTCTTTGATAGAAATGCTATAGTCCATATAACCACAGATGTTAGGTGTAGAGTAAAGGACTGAAGGCAGGATCTTCCCAGTAAGAGGAAATAGAATACACAGTCATGGAGAGAAAGGGAGGGAAGACAGGGAGAGACGGGTAACACTAACGGCCATTTGAGGGCCTACTATGGTAGAAGATTCTTAAAATACATACATATATGAAATAAATTTAAATTAACCACAAAATAGTAGGGGAGACAAAGCCCCAACTGACTTCTCTAACTGGCTTCTCTAACTACTAAATGAAATCTCCAGTACCAGGTAAGGGTTTCATCTAATTGAGCTGTTGAAAGGGGACTCACGGAAATCCCCAAATAATTCAAGTAGCTGTTGCTTTCCACAAACTGATGGTAAAGCCTGATTACTGAAGACAACACCTACATATCTCACTGAACACAGAGACGTGGAACTGGCACCTAACTAGAGCTTCATTCCATCTAAACACTAACTGATTGGGAACTAAGGCCCAATCAATGACATTGCTCAGGTGGCCAAGACTCTGAGACCAGAGAGGCCATGGACCTAGAGGGAAAGCCAAATACTACTGTTCTGCTAAAGGAATGTGGCAATATAATGACCCTTAACAACATCCTGCTTTACCCACAGAGCAGGTCTTGCTCAGTCATCATAAGTGAAGCTTCCTCCTGAAGTAGATGGGAACTAATACAGAGATCTACAACTGGACAATGGGTAGAGACTGAGAGAGATGTATTCACCAAACCTTAGGGCTCAGGGAACTATGTGGAAGAGGTAGTGTCTTCCATCCCCACTGACTCTGATACACCTAGAAGAAGGTCAAACCTCTATGAGTAAATATCTCTAACTCAAAATAAAAAAGCTCATTACTAAAAGACAAGCATTTTGTTCAAAATAGTTAGTTTAAATGCTGAGAAATCACTTCTAAAACTCCAAGTTGAAGTTTTAAAGGTTACTTACAAAACATTTGTTTCGACAACTAGCAACTACAATAGGCTAAGGTGTTGTCATTGAGTGAACCGATCCTCCTTTTAAAAGACAGGGCCATGCTATATAGACTAGTCTGACTTCAAACTTGCACTCTTCCTGTCTCCGTGCTCTGAATGCTGAGATTATGGCTATAAGCCACCACACTCTGTGACGACTGAAGGATGAGCTTTTATAAATAACCTTGAGTAATCTATAGCGCTCAGCTATCCAAACATAGTAGTATGTCAAAAAGTCATGTTAATAAAATAAAATTTTAAATTCAAAAGTGTTTAAAGCACCAGTGAATCTGAAAAGAAGCTGTGATTATAGTTCTTTTTTAAGAATCATACATTGGAGGAACTGTCTGTGGGTGGACATGGTTTGTTCATATGTCAAAATGGAATAGGACATATGCAAGGCCTTGGGTTTGATCCCAGCACAGGGGGAAAAAACGGGCAAGAAACTCACAGACAATTAATTTTTAGAGATTTCATAAAATCACACATCAAGAAATACATAAATCCCAGATCTTAGGTTGGCAATTGTTTTAGAAAACAGTTCCAGGGGCTCAGTGGCATAGAACACCTTCTGTACAAACATGCAAAGATGAATTTGAAGCCGTAGCACCACAGAAATAGTGCTCCTAAAACCTCAGTTCCGTTAGTAGATACAAGGGTTCACTGGAGCTGTCTACTAGTCTAACCTCAGAAGTCTCTCTATCTTAAGGGAATAAGGCAGAGAGACAGAACAGGACACACATGCCATCCTCCTCTGACCTCCACAAACATGTAAATGTGGAGAGACGTGCACAAATATGCAAATACACTACAGAGAGAGAGAGAGAGAGAGAGAGAGAGAGAGAGAGAGAGAGAGAGAGAGAGAGAGAAAGGGGGAGGGAGGAGAGAGGAGAGCTTTCTTATAAGGTATTTCAAACTGAAACTACAAGATGTGTTTTGAAACAACTAATAAAAAATCATCTTTTCTTAAAACAAAGCACAGATTTAATTTTTAAAATGGTAATTTATGATTAGGTCTACACAGTCAAACACACACATGTTAGTCGTATTTATTCCTCTATCTAAATACAACTAAACAAAACAAGAGAAACAAAAAGTCATCTAAACTTAAGCCTTAGGCTGGGAAAATGGTTCAGCGGGTAAAGTGCTTACTGCACAAGTAAATACTAGGATTTGAGTTCAGACATGACTAAAGCCAGACATGACTATGCACACCTGTCACCCCAGTGCTAGAGTAGAAACAAGATTCTGGGGCTCACTGGCCAGTCAGTCTAGTCAAAATGGCAATCTCCAGGTTCAATGAAAGACCCTGCCTCAAAAAATAAGATGAAGAAAGACTCGAAGAAAGTACCTCAACATCAATCACACACACAAACACACACAGGACAAAAAAGGAGAGAGAGTATGTGCTTCAAAATGCACCAAGTTTTCTCACAGAAGACTAACTCGTTTCTCCCACTTTCCTCTCCTACAAAGGATACAGAATATAGGAAACCAAGGAAGGTAAATCTAAAAGCCAATCATCTGCTAGGTTAATGGTGCACACCTTCAATCCCAGGACTCAAGAAGCAGAGACAGGCAGATTTTTGTGAGTTTGCAGCCAGCCTGGTCCAGACCAGACCAGTCAAGGCTATGTAGTGAGACCCTGTCTCAAAAACAGCCAATAGTTTCTAACTTGCTAGACGACTCCTAGCAAGTCTAAATTAAGCTGATAAATATGGGATTTATAAACTTTAGATTTAATACAATGCTTACCTTTGAATTCCTTCAAGAATATCCTTTACAGCTGCCATTAACTTTTGAAGATATATAAATGCTTCTTCAAATGATGCTATTTTTGAAGTGGTCAGAGTTGAACTTGAGTCCAGTGTCTGAAACACATCTGTGCTAAAAAAACAGAAAGAAAAAAAAGTATGTGCTCATTTAGTACTTATAAGTGTTTTCATTGACGACACATAAAAAATAATATGAGTAATCTTTTGCAATGCTCATCTATTTAAGTAGGAAATCAAAGACAGTGACATGAGAGAAGTCTGGGCTAACATCCACACAAGGGATCTTGGTCACACACCACACAGACCTAATTTAAAGGGAACTTCACTCTAAAAGAGCACAGAGATGAAGGGGAAGTAATACTACTAATAACATACAAGTCAGTACTCCAGAACATAAACATGAAGAATTAGGTATCAGATTAAATAAAAAACTGGATGTTTATCCTTGTAATTCCACTTCCAGAAACTTATTGTGAATTAAGAATTATAAAAAATAATTAGTGAAACCTTTAATATTTACTTAATAAAATACTAAAATATTTTTAAATGTTTATGCTATATATATGGGTCAAAACTAAAAATAAGATGAGGTATTGTAGTATACAACTTTAATCCTAGCAGTTGGAAAGCAGAAGCAGGCAGATCTAAGTTCAAAGCTAACCTGGTCTACACAATGAGTTCCAGGCCAGCCAGGGCTACATAGTGAAACCCTGTCTCTAAATACATAAATAAATATTTACTTAGGTAACAGCAACTATATTAAAAGTCAAAATGCATTATATTGTATCTGAATGGTGTCCTCCCCAAATTTACATTCATCTAGAGCAATGCCTTCTCAACCTATGAGTCATGACCCTTTGAGGTCAAATGACCCTTTAACAGAGTCACCTAAGACTACCTGCAATATCAAATATCTACGTTATGATTCATAACAGAAGCTAAATTACAACTATGAAGTAGCGATGAAAATAATTTCATGGTTAAGGGGTCACCTCAACATGAGAAACTGTTATTAAAAGGCTGCAGTGTTAGGAAGGTGGAGAACCACTGTGTTAGAGCTTCAGTATGGACCTCACTTGAAACAGGTCTTTAGCAAATGTAAATGGTTCAGCTAAATACTGGATCAGAGTAGGCCACACTCTCTCCATGAAGACAAAAGCAGAGACTGGAGGGATGCACTTACTAGGCAAAGACTGAGGAAGACATAAAGACAGAGCAGATTCTTACTTAGAGTTCCCGCCAGTCTTTTGTTTTTCCACTTAAAGGCCTTCTTAACAACGACTAAATAAATTTCTGCTACTTTAAGATACACAGTTGTGGTGAATCATTATAGTTTCCCAACAGAAACATTTTAAACCAGGCTTATGTATGAAAGCTGCATCTACTTTCAGACTCATTAGATTCAACATTATGAAATAAGCTATTCAACCGGTTAATCAGTTTATAGAAAATTATGAACTATCAAAATCAGTTTTTTTATTGGTTTTGCCTGCATAGTATTATTAATGAAGCCAATGAGAATAACAAAGGTAAAAGGAATCGTAACTATAAATCTTTCTGCAAACCAAAAATGCACATTTAAACAATTACCTCAAAAACTTGAATGACAAACTGCAGGAAATCTTTTTGTTTTCCAGACAGGACCTTATGTAGCCCAGGCTAGCCTCCAAGTCACAGCCATTCTGTCCCACCCTCCTGAACAGTAGGATTACTGTGTCACCATGCCCAAATAAAAGATTATTGTTTGACATGAATCAGCAATACAAAACACTCATCCAATTTCCTCGTAAATAGACAATAAAACCTGACCTGATATGATGCAAGTTCAACACTGATTAGTAAGGCACAAAAATGATGGCATTTATAGTTGTATCTAGAACTTGTCTGTTCCTTTTCCTATTGCTATAATAAAATACTGTGACAAAATCAACTAAAGGGAAAGGTTTCCTTCAGTTCACCGTGGGTATGAATGGAGTCATAGGAACTTGAGAAACTGGTCACGTTGCATTTATGGTAAAGAAGCAGAGAACAAGAGATAAATCCACACTGCTTACTTCCTCTGCTTCAGACATCCAGGACCCAGCCAGAGAATAGTGCCGCCCACAGTCGATGGGTCTTTCTACCTTAATTAAGCAATCAAGATAGCCTTCAACAGGCACAACCAAAGGCCCATCTCCCAGATGTTTCTAGATTCTGTGAAGTTGATAACACTAACCATAAATGTATTCTAGTAACTTATATGAGTAATTAAGAATAGACTTACCAGACCCCCAAATGAGTATTTATTTGTGAATGAATTATATTCAATAAATTCTATTGCAATTCTGGTATACAATTAGGTTTTTTAAAAAAAAAAAAAACAAAAAAAAAACTAGTGGCTCAGTGGTTAAGAGCATTGCCTGCTCTTCCAAAGGTCCTGAGTTCAATTCGCAGCAACCACATGGTGGCTCACAACCATCTGTAAAGAGGTCTGGTGCCCTCTTCTGGCCTGCAGACATATACAGACAGAACATTGTATACATAATAAATAAATAAATATTAAAAAAACTAGGCTAAATAAATATGTATTGTTAAGACAATATAAACATCATCACTTACTGAAATGCTAATATATACACAGTCTGTTATTCAGAAATAGCATGGAGCTCTCTAACATGTGGTACAAATGCGTGAATATTATAGATCAACTCCTATGTTTTCAAATATCTCTCTCTCTCTCTCTTTTTATTTTTTATTTTTTTTTTTTTTGGTTTTTCGAGACAGGGTTTCTCTGTAGCTTTGGAACCTGTCCTGGAGCTAGCTCTTGTAGACCAGGCTGGCCTCAAACTCTGCCTCTGCCCTCCAAATGCTGGGATTCAAGTCATGCACCACCACCACTCAACTCAAATATCTTTTATAGCAGCCATTCCTGCCTCCTATAAAAGGTAATTTTCTGTAAACAAGAACATTTGATTAGCGAAAGCACCAAAAATATGTTGAATAGAAAAAGAAACTGATTCATAAAAAATTACAAATTTGTAATATAGTTTTTAATTCACAAGCTAGATGTAGCTATCTTTTTCATATGATGGGTTAGAAAGCCAAATATCAGGCCATAAATTTGTTGAAAAATGTTTAATTATAGCCAAGGAATAAAAAAGGAGCCCAAGAACAAAGCAGACAAATGGGAGGGTAGAAAAAAGGGGAGATAGGTGAGAATGAGGCACAGGGAATATGCAATATAATATACCTGTGGCAGTGTGGTGCACGCCTTTAATCCCAGCACTCGGGAGCAGAGGCAGGCAGATCTCTGTGAGTTTGAGGGCAGCCTGGTTTACAGCGAGTTCCAGGTCAGTCAGGGCTACACAGAGAAACCCTGTCTCAAAACCCAATAAAATAAAATCAGAGGTTTTAAGTTATATAAGCTATCCTAACAGCACCTATCTGCAAAACTATTCAAGGGGAATGCAGCCCAGGTTCAGAACACCTGTCTAAAACCAGGTTCCAAACACTGGTGGGAAAAAGGGGACAGCAAAATGGCTATAACAAGTAAAATCTACTTGCTGTTAACCCTGATGCCCTGGGCTTGATTCCTGGAATTCACACCGCAGAGGGAAAGAACCCATTTCTGCAAGCTATCCTCTGACCTCCACACTATGACACTACTACACACACATACACCCAAATATAAAATAAAAATTTTATATTTTTTAAATGATCTCTGTACCTCCTTTCATTCATTCTAAAGTGTTTTATGTTTATATACTAAAGTAATAGTATTTTCCTTTTAAACAAAAGTATTTATACACCTTTAAACTCTTATATGAATTTTCTTTAATCGAAGGAACTTTTCTCAAGTTATTTCCAATTTAATTACAGACTTGCAATCTGCTAAGCTGCTGAATCAATCTAAGTGTCTCACTGGTTGTGACCTATGCAAGCAATGTTCCTCATCATGATTACAATAGAATCACCTAGAACAATTTTTTTTGGTAATTATTAATTTTTATTTTGTGTGCCTTGATGTTTTGCCTGCATGTATGTCTGTGTGAAGGTGTAAGACCTTGGAGTTACAGACAGTTGTGAGCTGCCATGTGGGTGCTGGGAATTGAAACCAGGTCCTTTAGAAGAGCAGTCAGTGCTCTTAACCACTGAGCTATCTTCTCAGCCTCGAGAGATTATTTTAAATGCATTCTCAGGCTCAACTCTTCCCCTACTGAATCCAAATTTCTAGGAATAGTGTTTAAATATAGAAACTTAAAAATTTTTCCAGGTAATCCTGATGTTTACACTGATTTAAACATAAATACTTCTAATGCACCAACAGGATCAAAAGCCCACAGTACAATAAAAATCAAAGCCCAAACACTAACTACAGTAGAAATTGTAATAACGGAAACCCTACAAAAGCAAACTTGTAATGATAAAGTGGAGGATGTCTTGGGAATTTAGTACCTGTTCTGATATATTAAAGTCCAAACATTCTCCAGGATAGACCATATTTCTTGATGCCTAGTAAACTGGGGAAGAGGAGAATCCGAGAAAACAGTGACGTCTTGGTTATGAAGCTTCAAAGAAGTGTCTTTCTGCTTTTTATTCACTGTGCTTTCTGAAGAATCTGGCTTCAGTTTTGTCTTGACCTGTGACATAAGAATTATACAAAATGCATACCAGTCCTTCACTAGCAACTGAGAAAACAGAGTCACTAACATACTGGACATTCTGGTTACTCTTTCTTTCATATGTATATTCCTAGAATATTCCTAGAAAAGCACTAGACTTAGAAAAAATATTTTTCTTTCCTGCTTAAATCAAATAATATATCAGTTTATTTACTACAGAGATCTTTCTTACCTAGCATTCAAATGTCAATATACTGTATGGAGAGACAAAGGGCAAACTAGGATGATTAAACGGGCAGAGGACAGAAGGTAAATAAGGAAATCTGGAAAGGGACTATTAAAGGCCATTTGAAAAAACATTTGGAAATCTACCACTGTGTAAGTGTCTTAAAATGTATACATATATAAAAGGAATCTAAATGGAGTCACTGAATAATGGGGGACACAATACCTCAACTAGATATCTTATGCCACCAAGTAAAACCTTCAATGGCAGAAATGGGTTACATCATGTTGAACTGTTGGTCGAAGCAGCCCCATGGAAACCCCTGATTACTCTCTGCAATCTGACAGTGTGGGAAGACCATATTGCTGAAGACATCATTTACACATGCCATGTAACATAAAGAAGTTGAGCTATGCCTAACTACAGCCTTCACTACAACTGACTGTTCATGGTACTGGAAGATACACTATACGCTACCATAGGAGAATATTTCCCAGCAACAAACCCTGTGGCCTACAAGGTTAACCGACCTACAAGATATACTTGTGCAACAGTAACACAAATGTTATAGGAATACCCAACCACTTTCTGATTGGAATTAAGGCCACTCCATAAGATGAAATCTATATCTGATGCTACTAAGTGGTCAAGAACCTGAGACTAGATAGACTGTGCGCCTAGGGAAAACCTAATACTATTATTTACAAAAGGAACATAGCGATAAAATAATGTCTAATGACATATTGCTATACACATAGTTCAGTGTCTTGCTCAACCTTCATCAGAGAAGCTTCTTCTTGAAGTAGATGGGAACTAACAAAGAGACCCACAACTGGACAATGTGCAGAGATTGAAAGACTTACTCAGTCCTAAATGGGATGTCGTCAAGGCTCAGGGGTCTATGTGGAAGAAGAGATGGAAAGACTGTAGGAGCCAGAGGTGACAGAGGACACCAAGGAAACAATGTCTTCTAGACACAATAGTACTGAAGCACGTATGAATTCAGAGACTGTAGCAACACACACAGGGCCTGCACGGGTTCAAACCATATCAGGTCCCAGCACTGAGAGGGTCAAATGGACATAGGCTCTCGTGCCTGACCAAAAAGTTATTTGCAATTGATACCTGCTTGCAAAAGCAAAATTAGTTTTATCCACTGGGTTTATTAGCCATATTTTAAGGCTGCCCAGGAGTAGCTGACCAACATAAAACAAAAATCACTATTTCCTTAGGGTTAAGTTTCCACGTTAATAAAAGAATGATTTCCAAAGTTAGCTTAATACTATTTCTATGCTTTAAACTGTTGTGGGGTTTTTTTTGTTTATTTCTTTTTTATATCAGCTTACTCAGTCCTTGTGACTACATAGTACTATGACACAGAACTGAAACCCTATGAAACAGAAACAATTCAGACTTTGAAGTGAAGGAAACTGAGAAATACAAAGATTAAAAACATCATGCAAGATAACTCAAATGGTAAGAAGCAAAAGAGATTTGACTCTCAGCAATCTAGAAAGTTATGATCCTACACCAAATGCAGAGGTATTACCATGCTATACTTTGTGGGGCAGAAAGCAAAATGAGATGATCTTCTCAGTTTCCCTGTTTGTATTAAATTATGAACTTACATATATAAATAATGGCCCTATATATTTTTTCCTGAAATTAATTTTTGTGGCAATACTGGGCTGGAACTCAGAGCTACACCTCCATCCAGATAACTGCTTTAATATCCATAAATGTTTAAAACTGAGTATTTGCCTATTTCTCCTTTGCTCTGGCTCTTAAATCTGAGTATACACAATCATGTAAGTAAATTTAAAAAAAATAAATAAACATTTATATAGCACTTACTATCAGCCAGGCACTAATTTCTTCAGTAATAGTTCATTCTTATGGCAATTTTAAGTCAACAATTATTATTATACTCATAATACAAAAAAAGGGGTAAAGATTCAAAAGAATTTAAAGAACTAGAGGCAAAAAAAAAAAAAATCCTGAAACAACAACAAAAATTCCACAGGTCAGAGTTCTGAGCATGTAAAACCTAAAACTAATCAACAAAATTGATTTGAATTATTCTAGCATAGTGGTTGATCAAAATTTTGGGGTATCTGAGAAATAACAAAACAAGGATGTCTTTTCCTACTTCCACCCCTCTTACACACATAGCTGAAAATGGTACTAGTTAACTGTTTCATCCTAGTTTCTCAGAAGCTTTCCAGAAGCAAACAGAAGATGAGTAATTCTTTTCTTGGTTTTCCATACTTGATAACTAAGATAAGGTGTACTTCTCAAGTTATTATATTAAGAAACCTTATTTTGGAAATAATATATTTATTGTTCAGGTTAGAAACATAGATAGATATTTGAAACATGAATCAAATCTAATGAATTATCCAAACAATGTCTAGCAAAATATATTCTAGGGTTCAGGATGTATCTCAGTTGATGGAGAGCTTTGCCTAATATGCATGACACTGTTGATTAGATCCCAAGCACTACATAAACAGAGCATTATAGTACACATCTATAATCCCAGTACTCAGGAGATAAAGGCAAGAGTACCAAAAAATTAAGGTTATCCTTGGCTACATTGCAAATCTGAGGCTAGCCTGGGCTACATGAGACCCTGTCTCAAAAAAAAAAATCTCAAAATTTATTTTGTTATTGTTTAAATTATTTTATGTGTATGAGTGTTTTGTCTGCATTCATGTATGTGTACTGTGTGCATGTCTGGTGCCAGAAGAGGTCAGAAGATGGTATCAGAATCTTTGAAAGTAGAGTTAAGGATAGTTGTAAACCACCATGTAAATGCAGAGAACTGAACCTTAATATTCTCCAAGAGCATTAAGGACTCTTAACTGCTAAGCCATCTCTCTAGCCCCTCTTTTTTGTGTGTGCACAGCTTTCTCTTGTCCATAAATGAAATAATATAAAATTCAACAACAAGAAAATAAAATCCCAAGTTTATAGTGGTATATACCCATAATGTCAATACTACAGAGTACTAAAAAAAAAAAACATGCATTTGAAGCTTGGTGAACTATATAGACAAATTCTATCTTGAAAAACAAATAATTCAACTATTCTGATATACCTTCCATAGAAAATGAATGTTCCATAATCTGTAATAACACTTGTCTATACTTCAATTTACTTAGTATTTACTCAATGCCTTTAGAATGCTAGGGTAAGTCACGGTAATATATCCTTTTATTGTTGGCCACTAAATCCACATTTGAAATATATGATTAACTACTCTAAATAGTACTCCATAGGTATCTTACCTCTGCAAGTACTTGAAGCAGTTTGTTTACTTGCGCAAAGGTCTGTGGAAGAATGCCATCATAATTTGACCTTGTACTGAAGGCATGTAACAAACTTTTAGAATCCTGAAGCAGAAATTTTACTGTTTTAAAATCCACTGCATTATTAGCTGGTAAGAAAAAAATTAAGAAAAAAAATTGAGAGAATAAGCATACAACATTTGCAACTAAGTATTAATTCTGCATTTTAAAGAGAGCAGACATTTATACATACATGTCACAACTAGTATTTACAATTTAAAGAGAGTAGACATTTACACATACATGTCACAACTAGTATGTCTCTCTGGTACGAAAGCAACAACTGAACACATTTATTTATAGACAAAGTGTTCATGTTGAATCTGATATTCTGTTTTCGGATTCTAGGAGTTTCTTGAATACAGCCAACTTCAAAGGATAGGAAAAGTGAGATATTACATTCTTCAGTAAAAGGAATTAATCACCAGACAAAAAGCCCAAGCATGGTGTGTTCAAAGTTGAAGCTGTCTCACATCCAGATGACTATCATAAAGGAAGAGTCATATAAGGGACAAGCATATAAGTCAGATGTGACTCCTACCATGACTGCAGAGCTATCATGTAATAACTTACCTGAAATTCTATCACGTGAAAAGTAAAACAAGATTTATTGAAAATAATGTGTTATCTCTCTGCATACAACAAAAGTTCAGCTAATAAAAAATTTGGACAACAATAAGAAAAAAAAGCTATAATTTTCCTCCTGTAAGTTAAATTAAGATAATCTACCATAACTTTTTCTCAATAGGCTAAAAATATTTCCACTAATTCCGAAGTTATTGGTAAAAATCATTTCAAAGTTTTAAAAAGTTAGGAAGAAGACAGGCATAGTAGTATATGCCTGTAATTCCAGTGCACAAGAGCAAGAAGCAGGGAAATCGCTATATTGAGGGTCGGTCTGTCTCATACAAACAAACAAAAAAATTTTTTTTTGAAAATGAAATAAAAAAATGAGAGAAAAGACAAATCTTTCTGTCATTAAAATATAATGCTAAGTAGTTGCTTCCAAAGGCAGAAATCATCATGCTGCAAAATTTGCTTTGCTTCTGTTTTAATGTTCATGGTTTCAGAGGTTCTGTGCGTGCGCGCACACGCACACACACGCACACGTGTGACCGTGTGTACATGTTCATGCACAAGGAAGCAGAGTACAACCTCAGGCATTCCTCTCACAGGTGCTTTTAAATAAGATCCCTCACTGGCGTGCACAAGCCCAGAGATCCACCTGTATTCACCTCCTATCCCTATATATCATCACCTCCCTATCCTTGTATACAAATACATACTTCTGCATCTGGCTTTTTCACATGGGTTCTGGGGCTGGGACTTAGATACTTTTGAGTATGTGGAAGCACTTTACTGATTGAGCAATACCCTCTTCTACAGAAACTATTATATTTAAAATTGAGCATGGCTTTCTATTGACAAAATGAGCTAAAAATGAATAAGGCATCCCTATGTATCACTTACACAAGAACTTGCTTATGAGATTCTGAAGGAACAAATGAAATTTTAAAAATATATTTCAAAGGCTGGAGAGATGGTTGAGCTGTTAAGACTACATGGTCTTGTAGAGGACTTGGATTCAATGCACTTATATGGTTGTCAACAGTCCTAACTCCAGTTCCAGGGGATTTGCTGGCCTCTTCTGGTCTCCATGCATGTAGTACACAGAAACATGCAGATAAAACATCCATTTAAGATAAAAAATAGCCGGGCGGCGTTGGTGCATGCCTTTAACCCCAGCACTCAGGAGGCAGAGGCAGGTGGATCTTTGAGTCCTTTGTGAGTCCTTTGTGAGTCCGAGGCCAGCCTGGTCTACAAGAGCCACTTCCAGGACAGGCTCCAAAGCTACAAAGAAATCCTGTCTCAAAAAATAAAAAATAAAATAAAATAAAATAAAATCCTTTTTAAAAGAAATAAATTTACTAATAAATTCAATAATTCTTTTATTTTTTTGAGACAGGATCTCACTACTTATGCTGATTGGTCTGGAACTTGCTATATAGACAAGGCTGACCTTGAACTCAAGCACTAGGATTAAAGGCTTATGCCACCACACCCAGCAATATTTAGTAACTCTAAATTACTAGGATATTTATAGCAAAGACTTCACTTTATCCATACCCTGCCTCCCACACCAAGTCAGCATTTTTTCTTGACAAGAACACTTTTAGTTCTTTTTGTAGTCAATGACTAGTTCAAATTTCTCTGGGAAAGAAATAAAAGATGCTACATGTGGTACAGATTGTAGAATTGATGAACTGCCTAACTCTAAGAAAAGCTAAACTGTGACTCCAACTACAGGAGACCCTCTGCTGGCCTCTTTTCTCACCAAGCCCACATGTGGTATAGACATACACAGACAAAATATGCATACACATGAAATAATTTAAAAATAAAATTAAAAAAATGGTATTAAATGTCTGGTAAAGATATGCTTTCATGTCCAATTGGTTGGTTGTCCTAAGCATCTTGAAAAATAACCTCTACCATTAAAGAAATGCCCTAAAATTTAAAAAGTTCTCTTGGGGCTGGAGAAATGCATCTTGAAAAATAACCTCTACCATTAAAGAAATGCCCTAAAATTTAAAAAGTTCTCTTGGGGCTGGAGAAATGGCTCTTGGCTGTTCTTCCAGAGGACCCTGGGTTCAATTCTGAGCACCCACATGGCAGCTCACAACTGTCTGTAACTCCATTGCCAAGGGATCTGACAACTTCACACCAATGCACATAAATTAAGCTAAAAGAAATGATGTTTACAAAATTAAACAAAAGTTCTCTTAGAAAATAAATTTTAAAAAAATGAGATGGTGTTACGCGCCTTTAATCCCAGCACTCGCAACACAGAGGCAAGTGGATCTATCTCTGCATTCAAGGTCAGCATGGTCTATAATAGAGAGAGTTCCAGAACAGTCAAAGAGTTATATAGAGAAGGCCCAGTTCAGAAAAACAAAACAAACCAATTAAAAAAAAAAAGTTAGCTTCTAACTAGGCCTGGTGGCCCACTCATGTAATCCAAGCCCTTGGGAGACAGGGGCAAAAGGACTGATGGTTATACTGGGTAGTTTTGTGTCTACTTGTCACAAGCTAGAGTCATCAGAGGAAGGAGCCTCAATTAAGAAAATGTCCCCCATAAGATCAGGCTGTAGGAAAACCTGGGGCATTTTCTTAATCAGTGATCAATGTGGAAGGGCCCAATCCATTGTGGGAGGAGGTCACCTCTAGGCTGGTGGGTCTAGGTCCTCTACAAAATCAGGATCAAGCCAGTAATAAGCAACACCCATCCACGGCCTCTGAATCAGCTCCTGTCTCCAGATTCTGGCCCTGTTTAAGTTCCTATCCTTACTTCCTTCAATGATGAACTATGATGTGGAAGTATAAGCCAAATAAATCTTTTCCTCTCTATTTGCTTTTGGTCAAGGTGTTTCGTCATAGCAATAATAACCTAACTAAGAAAATGGGCATTCAAGGCCAGCCTAGGCTATTTAACAAGTTACAGGACAACTTGACCCTGTCTGATAAAATAAAAAACTGAAACAAATAATTGGCAACTTCTAACAATCAACATTTATTCAGTTCTTACCATAGATAATATATAAGGAACTGTGTCCTAATTTCCTTTCTGTTGTTTTGGAAAATTACACTGACCAAAGGAACACAGGATAGGTTTACTGAGTTTACTATTCCAGGTTACAGTCCATTACTGCAGGGATGGCATGGCAAGAATTTGAAGAATCACAATCATAGGAGTAAAGAGAAACAAATGTACCCTTCCTTGTTTGCTTGTTGCACTATATTCAACTAGCATTCCCTACCTTTACACAGTTCAAGTAACAGCCTAGGGAATGATGCTACTCACAGTGGGCTAGGTCAATTAACAATTAAGTTAATTCCCCAAAGATTTGACCACATGATAATCTGATCTATATCAGAAGCTCTCCTCTCAGGTGATTCTAGACTGCTGCAAGTTGACATTTCATTTTTAAAAATTATTTATTACATTTATTTTTTGTGAGTGAGCATGTGTGTATCATGACACACATGGAAGTCAGAGGACAGCTTTGAGGAGTGAGTTCTCTCATTTCACCATGTGGAGAATGGTGATCAAAGACTTCCAGGTGTGGCAATGTGGGACCCTCACCCCTTATTCTCAAAGGGACAAAAAGAAATTTCCTAACAGAATGTTTTAAAATTAAAAACACAGACTAGCCTCACGTTCCCAGAAAGACAGCACTTTCCTTCCTCCTCCCATCCGGGAGATTCCAAACATAAGGACACTCAGCTCAGCCCAGCCAGCCACCTGGTTCAGGCTTATAAAGATGGCCAGACTCAGGAACAGGGTGGCCTTGCTCTAAGAACAAAGAATCAGCTGACACAGCAGGATGGGACAGAGCAAAAGACCTTGCACTGTGCCAAAACAACTTCAAAAAGCCTCTTTGTAGTTACACCTTTAAAAGCCTACCCCACAGAGTTGATACAACTCCTCTCTACCTCACTGCAGTGGGGGTTAGAGATAGGTTCCAAATTGGTTCATATTACACTAAATAAACTTTGCTTATTACAGTCTGGGCCTCTCTGGGAAAACAGCAGTAAGCGTCTTTACCTGCTGAGCCATCTCTCTGGCCTGCAAGTTTTACACTTTTACACTTCAGTAACAAGGCAGAGAGCATGATGTATGTGATGTACACCTACCTAGAATATGCCTCTATTTTTTTGGTCTTAACTTCTAAAGAACTTCCTATTAAAATGTGTGTTCAAATGTTACAATAATTATTTGTGTAGGTTTTGGATTTTGTGCCTTTAAACTCATTTTTTAACCAGGACTGGGGATTGAACCCGGGTCGTTATACACTCTAGACAAGTATTTTTTCACTAAGCTACAATCCTATACTTTTGTTTTGTTTTATTTTTGTTTTTCGAGACAGGGTTTCTCTGTAGCTTTAGAGCCTGTCCTGGAACTAGCTCTTGTAGACCAGCTGGCCTCAAACTCACAGAGATCTGCCTGGCTCTGCCTCCTGAGTGCTGAGATTCAAGTACACTCCCATACTTTAAACCTAATTTATTGAGGGAAGGAGGAAGGAAAGGAGGGAGAGAAAGGGTGGGAGGGAGCAAGAACTGCATATATGTATGCATATGTATGTTGTTGAGGTGCCTATGAATGCATGAATAAAGGCTAGAAGTTGATATCTTCAAGTATTCCTTGGTTGTTTCCCCACCTTATTTTTTCAGTTATCATCAATCCTGGACCTCTACCTGAATTAGCTAGCCAGCAAGTCCTTGAAATCCACCTGTCTCCATCTCCCAAGCACTGGGATTAGAGCACACTGCTACACCCAGTTTTTCCTGGGCTCTAGGGCTCTAAACAGAGGTCATTATGTTTATGCAGCAAGTACTTTACCTACTGTCTTACTTGGGGTTTCTATTGCTGTAAAGAGACACCATGACCATAGCAACTCTTATAAAGGAAACCATTTAAATGAGGTGGCAGCTTATAGTTTCAGAGGTTTAGTCTATTACCATCATAGTGCGACATGGTGGCTTGCAGGCAAACATGGAGTTAGAGAGGTAGTTGAGATTTCTGTATCTTGCCCAGGCAACAGGAAGTGGTCTGAGACAGTGGGGGTGGCTGGCTGGAGCTCCCCGTGGGGGCCACTTTCTTCCAAACCACCACACCTACCGGGTGATCTCTTAAGCCCATTTTGGTTCATTCTTTCCCCCTCCCTTTTTTTTCGCCCCTTCTGCTTTATAAAAAGTCCCATGTAGGCTGCTCTTGCACTCACTAGTAACAGTTTATCTTGAACTTCTAATTTTCCTGCCTCCACCTCCCATATGCTAAGATTACAAGCATATACCAACCTATTAGATTGATTTAAAGTTGTACAGACTATTGTGAAAGAAAAAAATTAAAAGATTCATACCTTTCAAGAGATTTTCATATAGGCTCTCAATAGTTAACAGCAAATTATTTTCCATAACTAATCCAAATACAGCCAGCCAATGTTTTTTAAAGCACTGCAATATGTTTATTAGAGTCCATGGTGGTTTCAAGTACAGCACCTAGAAAGTATTACAAAATTATCATCTGTTTATTTACCTGTTATTTAAACATACCTATGTAGGAACTTATATATATCCCTAATGAAAATACAGCTATTCACACTATTTTTATATTAAGAGGTGCTAATCACAATTTTAAAGAGGTAGGTCTATTACAGATTGATTTTTATAAAATTCATATTATTAACCTTTAGTTCCATAACTTTTAAATAAATAAAGAAAGCAAACTCTAGTTAGAGTAGTATAGTTTTAACCAGAATGGTACCTCAAACTATTTTTTTCTTTTTTTAAGTTAATGCTTTTGCTGTATTTTATGTGAACAAGTGTTTCCTGCATATATGTCTATGTACCACATGCGTGTCTGATCCCCACAGCGGCCAGAAGAGAGCATCAGATCCCCTGGAATTGTAGCTACAAATGGTTATGGGTAGCCATGTGGATGCTGGGACCTGAACCTGGCTGGGTCCTTTGCAACAACAGCAAGTGCTCTTAACACTGAGCCACCTCTCCAGTCCCTCAATCTTCCCTTCCATATGGTCATTTCCATAAGTAAAACAATCTAAATATTTCATACTAGAAGAGGGAAAAATCTATATGAAAAATAATCAAATCCAACTGTCACTTGCTACACTCTTACAAAAACATATTTATAGATAATTGGTCTCAGTTTAGGAAAATATCAATGCCTTTTTCTGAATCATCCTATGAAATATCCAATTTATAACAATCCTCCTAAATCTTTTATTCTTCTTCATTATTTTTGCAAATATATCACACTGGCAAGTTTTAGAATCTTGTTGAATAGCTAGAACAAAGGCATCAGCTACAACTAATGGGTTATAACATTTCTCTTAGCAAAAATGTGAATTTGAAACAAGTATTAAACTAATTTTTACTGCTGGCAGTGGTAGTGCAATCCTTTATTTTCAGCACTTTTGAGGCAGAAACTGGTAGTTCTCTGTGAGCTCACGGGCAGCCTGGACTACAAAGTGAGTTCCAGGGCAGCCAGGACTGTTACACAGAGAAACCTTGTCTCAAAGAACCAAAAATTAAATCAAAGTAATAAACTATGTTTTATAAGTATGCTTGCTAAATTTGATGTTTTAGTATTGAAGTTTAGTATGCTTGCTAAATTAAACTGTAGAAAAAAGGACATTAAGCTAAAGAAATTAAAATTTCCTTAATTTTTAAAAACAACTTGTTTATTTTTATGTGCATTGGTGTGAAGGTGTCAGATCTCTGTAGTTACAAACAGTTGTGAGCTACCATGTGGGTGTTGGGAATTGAACTTGGGTCTTCTGGAAGAACAGCCAATGCTCTAAACGCTAAGTCATCTCTCCAGCCCCCTAAATATCTTATTATGATCAATTTTTACTCTCATATTTACATAGCATAAAAGTCAAATATAGAGTGAGATACGGTGGCGTATACCTTTAATCCCAGCAATGGGGAGGCAAAGGCAGGCAGACTGCTGTGAGTTCAAGGCCCACCTGGTCTACATAGAAAGTTACTAGACAGCCCAAGCTACATAGAGAAACCCTGTCTTGAAACACACACAAACACAAAGTCAAATATACAGACATTTTGTCATACATTTTGAACAAATCAAATTGAATGAGCAAAATATTTATATTTTGTTTATTTTGCTTGGTCTCTTGTACCCCAAGCTCACTACATAGCCAAAGATAATCTTGAATTCCTGATCCTCTTATATATACCTTCAGGTGCTAGGGTTATAGGCATGTATTCCAGACACGATTTATGTGCCACTGGGAATAAACCTGCAGCCTTAGGTTGCTAGGCAAACATTTTACTAACTGAGCTATATCCTAGTCCTTGTGCAAGAACTTTAAGGATTCAATTTAAGCTCTAGGAGGTCAATTTATCAAATATTCACAGTAGATGCACAACAACTATTAGTTAATTTAAAACAAATACAGAATCTTCCCTTGGAGTACCTTTTCTTTCTCATTTTTCCTTAATATATCAACTTTTGCTCTGTTCAAAGTGAAATAAATACTATACAAACCTAGCCTATAAGAAATATTCATCATATAATTATCAAAAAGTTATTACAAGGCCAGCAATGGTTCAGCATATTAAGACACTTGTCACCAAGTCTGACAACCTGGGTTTAATTATGACAGAAAGAGAGAATCAATTCCTGCCAAGTTGTTCTCTGACTTCTACAGGAGCACCAAGGCAAACACATACCTGCATACATGTATACACTTGTGCACACACAAAAAACAAAATAAATATATAAAATCAATTTGAAATTTTTTAATTATTATAAAACTTAGAAAAATGTGATATGGATCACTGTAAAGTTTTTTAACTTACACAAATATCTTCTAAGATAACCAATCATCAATAATAAAAAGAAATATCAACTAATAAAACTATGTACCTCCATCCAAAGATTTCCAAAAGCAATTTTCATTTCTGTTTCTAATATTGAAGATAAAGCTGTTCCAAGAGATTTTTCAAAATCACATATAATGTGCTCAAGCACAATGGACAATCCAGAATTTGTAGATTTTTCCTTAGATGTCTCCTGTACAGGTGCTGTTTCTTTAAAGACAAAGTTTCAGGTTTTATCAAAAGAGGTTATCTCTTGTTTTGAGACAGGGTTTCAAGCAGTACAAGTAGGTCTCTAAGTTACTGTGTAAGTGAGGATGACCTTGACCTTCTGACCCTCTTGTCTCTATTTCCCAGTGCTGGAATTACAAGCAGGCATCGCCACCACGCTAAGTTTATATTGTACTAGGATCAAACATAAAGATAGGGCTATGCTCGTTCTAGGAAAGTACTTGACTAGCTGAACTACATCCCCAGTCCCCACTTAGGGTTTTTGACAAAAAGCAAAAACAACACCCCCCAAACCCTAAAATGTTTTTTACTCAAATGGAAATATGAAAAAACCATGTTATTTTAACTAAAATAAATTTTATTATTTGTGTGTGTGTGTGTGTGTGCAGCAAGTGCTTTTATCCATTAAGCCATGTCACTGGCCTCATTTTGCATATTTTTAATTATTGACCATCTCTTAACATTAAGGCACTGTTTTTATTATTTAAAAAATATAAATGAACAAAAAAACAGTAAAATAAAAAAATAGCAAAATGAAACAATGAAACAAGAAGCCCCCCCCCCCACACACACACACAGTTAGTCAGCTACTCCAGGGCATTGGGCCTACTCTCGAGTGTGGTTGATATACTCAGCCAGATTCCATTGGAGAAAACTGATTTTCTCATTCCAGCAGGTATCAATTGCAAATAGTTCCTTGGCTAGGGGAAAGACTTTGTATATATTTCTTCTCAGGGCTGAGATGAATTTTATTTTTTTCAAACAGAATAATTATAAGAATGCCTTATTTTCTGTTTAACTACCTGGCAACTGCATCAAAATTGGTTTTCTTCCCCAAAATGGTACATATTTCAACCCATATCAATAAAGTGTTTTAAAATGACCAAAGTTTCTGGCTTATCTACAGCCATGCCAACCTCCTTTAAAATAAGCTTTTATAAGTTCAGCTGTTACCATTTCATTAACATTATCCTTTTATACTTGAAAAGTCACTACAATTTCTTTACAATAAATTCAAATACTGAGGGACTCATCTCCACAGACACCAGCTAAGGGAATGGGCAAACTGAAGTTTACTCCTGAAAAACCATCAACTATAATATCCTGTAATTCCTCCCAAATATCATGACAAAGACACACTATTCTCAAAAAGGGAACAAAGCAGTATATATGAGTGCATTAATATTTATACAATTACTTAGATATACAAGTATATCTAATGTAAAAAGTCAACAATTGCTTTCTCCACAGAGAAGAGGCCAGAAAAAATGGTCAGATTCCTGGAACTAGAGTTGTTTGTGAATGTTGGCAAATGAACTCTGGTCCTGTGAAAGAGCAGGAAGCACCCCTAAGTACTGAAGGAAAGTTCCCCAGAAAAAGAAAAGTTGTAGTGGCATATTAATTATTTTGATAAATAAATCTTGCCTGAAGACCAGAGGCAAAGCTAAAGCCACTACAGATCAGGCAGGCATGGTGACATCTTTAATCCCAGGATTTGGGTGACAGAGTTAGATGGATCTCTGTGAGTCCAAGGCCACTTTGGGCTACACAAGATAAATGCAGAAACAAATCCAGGTGATGGTCCCTCACCATGAATCCTAGTACTAGGGAATCGTACACCCTTAATCCCAGCACTAGAGGGCATATAAAATGAGAGGAGACAGAGGCTTGGTTTGTTTAGTTTGCAGTCGCCCAGCCTTGGTAGAGGTAAGACTTCTCTAGCAATGTAGTAGTTCATCAAATACCAAATCATAGAATAGATCATTCTAATAAAAAGTCAGTATTGCCCTTATATTTCTTAATTATTAGTTTAAACTTTAAGAAAAAATTATTTTACTAGAATTGTATGATATCTGATTTTTCTGTATTAATAAAGTATTAGGAATATGAAACTAATTTTACAAAAAATTAAAAAGTTTCACTTCAAAAGAATACTTACTACAACCATTAATAATTTAAAAGATACATTTTGCAAGGTACAAGTTCTGCCCACAATGATTATAAATAAGTAAATGTGAGAAAATGAATAAAAATAAAATTAATTGGTAAAAGTATATGGAGATAAACAGCAAAAATAGTAATGTTTGTTTTTGCATTTTTATAATTTTCATTTAATACATGAGTAAGTATTCTAAACTTGCTATTATATTAAAAATGTATTAGATAAAAATGTATTATTAGTTTTAAATGTTTCCAAAAATATTAGTGCACAAGAGGTACTTCTTTCTAATCATTAGTAGTAAAATTACCTGCTTTCAGCTGTTGCTTAGAAATACAAGGCTGAGGACACACACTTGTGTTCAGAGCTAAAGATACTATCTCTGCATCCAATTCTTCTTTACTGAGTGACTTCACACCACTTATCAGTCCTTTACTTCTTAAATTTCTATCATCCCTGAAGGTGTGGTTATGGGAAAAAAAAAAATTTTAGAAGATCAACTATATGTCAATTCAGAAACACAAGTTATTAATATAAACATTAAAAATGGTTAGAAATTTAGAAATGAACTCAATAAAAGCATTTATATGGAACTAAAGGGGTTGTTTAGTGGTTAAGAGTACTTCCTGCTTGTTCAGAGCACCAGATGCCTTGGCATCTGAGGGTTCCTACACTCATACTCACATGCCCACACATACATAAACAAAATTAAAAATTATAAAAATAAAACTTAAAAAAAGATTAAAGCTTAGATTATTTGAAGTTTCTATAAACTTCTCTTTAAGCACTAGCAATAGCCCATAAATTTCATATGGTGCCTTTCAACCGTCATTCAATATTTGTACTTCTGTGCTCATGCACACATGTGTCACATGCACACGTGCCCGCAGAGGCCAGGAGAGGCTGTCAGATTCCCTGGAAGTGAAGAAGTTCTAGGTAGTTGTAAGCTGCCCGATGTCCGGTTGAAAATCAAACTTAGGTCCTCTGCAAGAGGAGTGCATGCTTTTAACTGCTGAGGCATCTCTCCAGCTCCTAAGCATCTTCTTAAGAAACAAGGAAAAAAGGGGGAAGAAAGGCATACCAGTACTTTCTGGGATGATCAATATGTTTTATATATTGAGAGAAATATGAACCATGCTACTGTGTCAATTTGATATGCTGACAGTTATTAATATATCTGTGCATTCCAACATAAGTACATTTTTTTCTCAAAAACAAATAACTAAAAAATAATCAAGCTAGATAGGGAGTGAATAAAGATACAGATGACAGAAAAAAAACAGCAGACTCTTAATAATTGTTGTAGTTACATTAGGATTCCATTCCCCCCTGCCTTCTGGAACTGGGAATTGAGTCTAGGGCCTCATGGATGCTAGTAAGAGCTCTGCCACTCAAGTATATTTCCAGTCCCAGGAGTTTATTCTTCACTTTGAATATTGCTGGAATTCTTCATAATATAAATAAAGAAGTACCATTTAATTTTTAGAACAATAAGGGCAGCGAGTGAGGAAGTAGAAAGCATGATAGTGTTAAGAGTAGTAAAGGGGAAAGTAGCATGATTTAATGTGGAGTGGTGGCAGGGAGACAAAGAGACCCAGCAGAACAAAATATGAAAGTATGTTCTTTACACTAGGACTCAGCATAGGACTTTGGAAACAGATCAAATATGGCACTTTTCACTCACTTAATAGTTTAAATCAGGCACAGTTCAGGGAGTCCTGAGGAAGAGGGGAAAGAAGGATTGAGCCAGAAGGGTCAACGGCACCACAAGAAAATGGTCCACACCATCAACTAACCAGAGTTCACAGGGACTCACTATCAGGGAGCCCATATGGTTGACCTAGGTCTTCTGAATACACGTTATAACTGTGTAGCTTGGCATTCTTGTGGGGCTCCTAACAGTGACCAGGGTCTGTCTGACTCTTTCACCTGCTTTTGGAACCTTTTTCCTTCTACTTGGTTGCCTCATTTAGCCTTAATATGAGGGGATATGACTAGTCTTAAAGCAACTTAATATGCCATGTTTCGTTGATATCTCTAGAACTGTCCGTTTCTGAAGAGAAATGGAGGAGAAATGGATCTGGGGAGAGCAAAGATGGGGGGGCTAGGGAGCGGGAGGAGAAGAGGAAGAGGAAATGAGGTTGGGATGTAATACATGAGAGAAAAATAAATAAATAGAAGGAAAAACCAAGAGTTTATTTTTTTAATAATGATAGATTTCAAATGTCTTCAAAATACAAGTAAAACTATCAAATAAGTAGGTGAATATATTAGCCTGGAACTTAGAAGAATCATACAGACCTGAGATATTAATTGAAGTTGTTAGTTCAGATAGTAAATCTAAGGGAAACACTTAAAATAATCTGGAGCAGTGGATTCTGATTCCAGATCTCCTCATCTCATGAGGAGTCTGCTTTCTCATCTCTTTAAATGAAATTTGCTTTCCAAGGTTTCAAAGAAAATAATGTATAGTATACTCTATTGTGTTTTTTCCTATTACTACTTCAGCAACTGATAACAAGTGTAACATCATCACCATCATTATCTATGCAGCCAAAGACATGCACCCTCACAATAGGTACAAGTTGGAAGAAGACCTCTACAGCACACATTTAAACATTTACAGTATCAACATTTAAAGAAAAGCCCTGTTGAGTGCAGCAGCACATACCTTTATTCCTACTACTCAGAGCACAGAAGCAAGTAGGTCTTCATGAGTTTGATGCCAACCTGCTTTACATAAAAATTCTAGGCTAGGCAGGCAGTGGTAGCTCATGCTTTTAAACCCAGCACTCAGGAGGCAGAGGCAGATGAATCCCTGAATTTAAGGCCAGCCTGGTCTACAGAAGAATTCCAGGACAGCCAGGGCTATAAACCCTGTCTGAAAAAGCCAAAAGGAAAAAGTTCTAGGCCAACCAAAGCTACATGGTTATATGAGCTCTAGGCCAACATGAGCTACATGGCTACCTTGTCTCAATCTAAAAAAATTAAAAAAAAAAAAAAGATTTGACCATGTGCTAGGCACTACTCTAATTCCTTTACATACATTACCTAATAAACCTTATGAAGCACATATTCATCCTTCTGTTTTTAGACACAAAGAAGCCAAGTTAGAAAAACTGTAGAGAGTCATACAGCTGATAGCTGATAGACCTAGGACTATAGCCCAGGCAAATTTACTGCAGAAGAGGCACCCACAAGGTAATGTAACATAAGCCACCTTCTCCTTGCATATAAATAAATAACCAAATTTTTGCCTCCTGTGACTGGAAAATTCTTTAAGATTCTGATATCAACTTCCCATCCCTCAAAGTGTTCTGAGTAGTATATGGGTTATAGTGAAATAAAAGCTCATTTACTTAGTATCTCATTCCTCTGGGATCGTGTATCATAAAAAATAATAGCTGAGTATGATTTGTGGCAGATTTAGAAAATTGTTTGTTCCTTACTTTGGTGAATAAAATTTCTAAAAATTCTTTACCATAAGCTATTATTTTAAAAAACAAAACAAAAACACAATGACTATGACACTCACGTGCACAGAATAACAAGAGAATATGGAAATAATTCCTGGTACTGCAGACAGCATTTTAATACTCGATCATCATTGTTCTCATCACTCAATCCATCTGCAAATGGAAAGGTAACTGTCAATAAGTATATCAGAAATCTAGACATTGCTTGAGCATGTTGACTCATGCCTGTAATTCCAGTATTCAAGAGGCTGAGGCAGGAAGAGTGTCACAAATTCAAGGCTGGCTTGGGCTACAGAATAAGACCCAGGCAATGGGGAAAAAAGCTGGGGAGGAAGCAGGGAGGGCTGGGATAACAGTTCAGGTAATAAATAAGTTTCTTCAGAACAAAACTGTGTTTTCCCATGTACAAGTGCGCACACACAAATATGTATACACACACATCAGAAAAATTCACCTACACAAAGATAAGAAATCAGGATATCACCTGAGTAATCTAGGCAATATTTACACATTAAAACTATGTAGGTTTTAAGGCAATGAAGCTACTCTGATACCAGCACAGTGGATACATGTCACTATATAGTTCTCCAAACCCATACAATGTAAACTAGGCGACAATGATGTGCCAAAGTGGGTTCACTGATTGTAATACATTTCTTTTTTCTTTTCTGGTCTTTTGAGAGAGAGGGTCTCTCTGTAGACTTGGCTGTCCTAGAACTCACTATGTAGAGCAAACTGGTTTTGAACTCACAGAGATCTGCAGGCAACTGCCTCCCAAGTGCTAAGATTAAAGGCAGGAGCCATCACACCTGGTTGTAATATATTTCTTTTTTTTTTTTAAAGACTTATTTCTTTTTTCTCTCTCTTTTTTCTTGCTTTTTTTTCTTTTTCCTTTTTTTCTTTTCTTTTTCTTTTATTTCTTTTTCTTTTTTTTTCTTTTTCTTCTAGCTGTCCCCATGCTTTCGGCACAGAGTCATCCACATGGAGAACAACCCTGTTTCCTAAAGCTGGGGCTTACTATCAGCTCACCACTGGATTGCACCAGTATTTATTTATTATGTATACAACATTCTGCCTTGATATATACTCGCACGCCAGAAGAGGGCACCAGATCTCAGTACAGATAGTTATGAGCCACCATGTGGTTGCTGGGAATTGAACTCAGGACCTCTGGAAGAGCAGACAGTGCTCTTAACCTCTGAGCCATCTCTCCAGCCCCCTGTAATATATTTCTTACTCTGGTGGGAAGTACTGATTATAAGAGAATTATTATGCATGAGAATAGGAAGAATATGAGAAATTTCTATAACTTCTGCTCAATTTTGCTGAAAAGCTAAAACTTGTCCAAGCTTTTATTTTTTAAAACATATCTGAAAGACAGAAAACTCATTCAATAAAATGAAGACAGGAAAACAGTATCTTCAGAACTCTGAATCCAGACATCACAGTCTATAACTAAATTTCTTGTTATCTGTTTTACCTTAACATCTAAAACACTGCATTTAGAGAAGTACAGGAAAGGAAACATGACTCCTTGCCAGAAGATGCAAAAAGTGAGCCAGGCATAACAGCATACACTGGCAGAGTACAGGAAGGGTAAGGAGTTCAAAGTCATCTGCACCTACATAGTGAGCTCATGGTCTGCCTGGACTGAGATCACATCTTGAAAAACCAAAAAGAAAAGAGGGAGGGCAGAGAAAGGTAGAGGAGAAGAGGAAAGAAGGGAGAAGGGGGAAGGTAGGGAGAGAGAGGAGGGAAGGAAGAAAAAGAAGAGAGCGGGTTAAAGAGAGAAGACAGGAGAGGAACAAGAGAAGAAAGGAGGGAGAGGGAGTAAGAAAAATGTAAATCATTATAAAAAAAAAAGGGGGGGTGGGCTGGAGAGATGGCTCAGCAGTTAAGAGCACTGGCTGCTCTTCCAAAGGACCTGAGTTCACTTCCCAGCACTCACATGGCAGCTCACACCTGTATGTTAACTCCAGTTCCAGGGCTTCTGACACCCTCACACAGACATACATGCAGGTGAACATCAATGCACATAAATAATTTAAAAAAAAAAAGGAAAACCCAAAGTTCTATAGCATAGTCAAGTATGCATAATAACTATTATTTAATAAGAGGGGGAAATCTAAAGTTCCAGAGTATAGCCAAGTATGCATAAGGAACTATATAATCATTATCTGTAGCCGGGCAGTGGTGACGCACGCCTTTAATCCCAGCACTCGGGAGGCAGAGGCAGGCAGAATTCTGTGAGTTCGAGGCCAGCCTGGTCTACAAGAGCTAGTTCCAGGACAGGAACCAAAAGCTACAGAGAAACCCTGTCTCAAAAATAAAAAAAATAAAAAAATAAAAAAATCAATATCTGTGAAATACTAACACAGCCTAAGAAAGGATAGAAAAAACAATAAGACAAAACCAAGGACTCCCAAAATGAGTCAAAAATTAACACAGTACCCTTTCCATTTCACATTTTTTAAAGGACTATACACTGTTAATTTTTATATCACTTCCTTCCAGTAATAAGCCAGTACCTAAACAAATCTCTATCAAGGATAAAGACACCCAGGAACAATAATACTTACAAAGTTTTTGGGATGCCAGTTGTAATGACTGACCCCACAGCTTTCTATCTTGACTTCTGAGGCTTTCGTTGATGAAGTGAATTGCAGGCACAGCTTTGTGCTGGACATGTTTTAATAATTTTCCTGCCTTCATGCGATCTAGCTCTTGCACAACCACCCAGGGAATTATTAACACAAGTGTGTCAAAGCCTAAAAACAGAAAGATTTCTTAGAATCCAACATGCATTAAGCTTCTACATCAGTTTCTGTAGAAGTCGAAGTTTTAAAGTACACAGCCTCCAGGCCATCTTGATGGCTTTACGAGCAAGTACATTTGCTGCCAAGTCTGAGGACCCACATGGTGGCAAGATAAACGGAGACTCCTACAAGCTGTCTGCAAGTTATTCCCTAACTGGCACACATATCCTGTGGCATGTTAAGAATTTAAATATTAAAAACTACCAGATTACAAAAAGAATGAATTTAGCAAACATGAGTCCTATAATCAAGGTTTGCAATTGAAACAATTTCACAATAAACAAATAATTTTACATACTGTTAATTTAAACTATTTCTTTTTTTTTTCTGTGACTGGATATTTCCTTTTAATAATAAGCGAACACCCAAACAAATCTTTATCAAAATTTAAATATGCTAAGTGGCATCCAAAAGTATATTTTAAATTTCTAGATTAGAATATCTTTTTAAAAAATTCAGATGATATAATACAACTGTGAGAAAAAACAGCTGTTAATATAGAATATCAACTCAAAAAGAAAATCAGAATCTGTGAATTTTTATATATACCTGGTATCTCTGTAGTCTTCAAAATTTTAACAAATTTAAGATGATTCATCAGAATATTTGTGTCAATAACAATTAGAAGCTTTCTGTCTGTGGCAGGGAGAAGAGCAGAGGTAGAATTTCACAACACTTTAAAATACATTATGACCAAATTTGGGGATCATAAAAGTACAGACAATTTATTGAACTTAAAAACCTGTCTTGTAAGCTTAAGAGTAAGAGGCAGTACTATAATTTTTATAGTGAATTCAATATAGCATACTAATTTAGATAACCTTATTTGAGACAGGAATATATATAAGACTATAAAGAACAGGCTGTCCTAGAACTCTACATAGCCCAACATAGTCTTGAACTCCTAACCCTCCTGCCTCAGCTTCCCAGGTGTTGGAACAACAAGCATGCACCATGTCCAGTATTTTGAATAACTGTTATTATGTGTTCCCAGCATCAAAAATTTTACTATATTGCCGGTTGGTGGTGGCGCACGCCTTTAATCCCAGCACTCAGGAGGCAGAGGCAGGCAGATCTCTGTGAGTTCGAGGCCAGCCTGGTCTACAAGAGCTAGTTCCAGGACAGGCTCCAAAGCTACAGAGAAACCCTGTCTCGAAAAATCTAAAAAAAAAAAAAAAAAAAAAAAATTTATATTAACAAGGAAATCATGAAAATAATACTGTTAAGCAAACTGCCTTCTATCTGATCAGTGCTTTTATATGACTAAAAGAACTAAAAGTTGTAATTAAGAGCAAGCATAAAAGACAGTGCATAACCCCATTATTCTTTTTTTGTGTATGCTTGCAGGCCAGAAGAGGGCACCAGACTTCATTACAGATGGTTGTGAGCCATCATGTGGTTGCTGGGAATTGAACTCAGGACCTTTGGAAGAGCAGGCAATGTTCTTAACCACAGAGCCATCTCTCCAGCCCCCAACCCCATTATTCTTGAGAAAATGTCTAATGGTCTAATAAAATAAGAAATTCACGATTATCATTTTAAATGAGCACATTGTAACACTTTCATCTGTACACTGTAAAACCTGAATGTTAGTGCAACAATTCTTAGAAAAAAAGCACAGATCATAAAAATTAACAGAGTATACCAGCAGAATGCACATCATCTTCCACCAAGTCAATTTCCATATTCATTAATTCTCCGGAAGGTGGAACCACAGGTAAATGCACACTTTTTCCCACACGTGCAGCGTGGAGCTCTTCTACTATCTGCATCTAAATTGTAAAAGACCCCAGTGAAATATCTGAGTTACTTACTAAAGATATTTAATAAGAAAGCAATACATCACAAACACCTTAGAGAAATAGAGACAACAGAATAAAGCATATTGATTTATAACCACATGGTTTTAAAATCAGTTCCTTTCTGTAGCCTTAGGCAAGCAAACTGTTTTACTACTTTAGAACTTGCCCATCTATAAAGAATATTAAATTTGTCTATTTTCTTTATGATTGTTATATAATAATTAATGTTAAGTCATGTAAAGTTCCTTGCCTAAAACCCAGTATAAAGACAACAAAATAAGTTCACAGTCATGTCTATTTCATCTCACTTTGAAGAGTCAGCTTTCTCTATCTTAATGTGTGTGAACTGAGTGCGAACTGAGGCGACAGCTGAGAGCTTGCCCAGCATGTATGAGCCCCTGGATTCAATCCCTACCTCTATTAAAAACCAAAAATGTTTCATCCAATGTCCTTGACACTTCTAATATTGTTTATCCTCTATCAGAAACTAAATAAGCTAAATCTTTTATTATTAATTGTATTATACTTTAAAATTTTATTTGCATTGGGGCAACACAGGCATGAATGTACACAAACATCTTTACTCCCCAAGCCATCCCGTTGACTCTGCACTATAAATCTTAAGATCCTTTTCATTTTACATGTACTTCTCTGATGGTTATTTTGATATGAAAAAATTAAATATGGCTGGGCATAGCATCACACACATACAATTTCAGCACTCGGAAGACTGAGGCTGGAAGATCATGAGTTCAATTCAAGGCTAGCCTTCTTTACACAGCAAAAACAAGGCCTGAGTCACAAAGTGAGAAACTGTCTGATTTAAAATTAAAAAAAAAAAAGAAGAAGAAACAAGAATATGTTCTATCTTTAAAGCAGTCAGGAGAAGTCTTTTATCAAGGGGCACTGACTCATAAAACAGGAAAAAAGTATTACAAATAAAAGTTATCAACAATATTAAAGAGAAAAGTGCAAAATGTTAGTGAATTTTAATTTACTCAGGCAACATAAAATTTACACAATAACCTTATAAAGATAAATCAGAAGATTTTAGGTAGAAAATATAGCAATAGGCAAAAAGATAAAATACTGTGGACTTTTATTTGACAATAACAATTTCATCTTATTGCTGAGTTGAAAAATGAAGAACAGGTTGTGTCACATTACATTTTGGCAAGTCTAGGTATAAATATGCAAAAGCATAGCATTAAGTCAAAATAAATTTAACTTGTGGTACATGAACACCACCTTCTGTCTAAAGTAGAGTAGCTTATTAGAAACAAAAGCAAAGTCTCCCAGTAACCACCCCACGCTAGGAGAACCTTATACTGCTAGACAAGCACTCTACCACTGCATCGCATCGCTAGCCCCTACGAATGGTGTTTGATGACCTAATTAAAACTTACAGACTGATCTTCCTATCAATATACAGAATTCTTTTGGAGTTTAAGTTGAGACATCATTATTTTCATACTGTTTTTTACAGATAGTTTATTAAAAGTAGCAACTGCTTAGCTAGGCATCCTGGCATATAACTGTAACTACAGCATTCAGGAGGTCGAGTCAGGAGGATCACAAGTTTGAGATCATCCTAGGCTGCATAATAAGACCCTGTTGCACAGCTTTACACACACACTCAGAAAGAGAGAAAGGAAGGAAGGAAGGAAGGAAGGAAGGAAGGAAGGAAGGAAGGAAGGAAGGAAGGAAGGAAGGAAGGGAGGGAATGAACTGTTTGAATTTCTTTAAATAAACAAAATAAGTGCATCAGTAACCTCTTCATCTGTATCTTGGATGTTCTCAGATGACACTGAAGAACATGGTGTTTCAAAATCCTGAAATGAGAAAAGGGTTTTGAGTTAGGCCTTATGTGGTGGATAACAGCGTCACTGGATTCAAGTAGTCAGCTACTAGAACTGACACTCATCCTGCCCCCAACAACAACAACAACAAACATGTATTTATGTTTGTGTGTGTAAGTCAGAGGACAACTTGGCAGAGTCAGCTCTCTCCTTCCTCCGTGTGGGTCCCAAGAATCAAAACAAAGTCATCAGGCTTGGTGGCAAGTTGCCTTCATCTACTGAGCCATCTTGCCAGCCCCCACCATATTGACAAAGAAAAATGTTTCCAAACATTAATAAACACCCTGAGAGAGAAAACTGCGCCTGTATGAGAAATCACCTCTAGAAAAGACCTGTTCTCCCAAGTCATAAAAAGTGAGTCATACTCCTTAGGGCTTTCAGTCATTAAATATTCTTCTTTCAGTAACAGAATTATATGCTAACATAAAGACAAATAAGCAGGTTTTCAGTGGCAGAAAAATTTTATTTAGAAACCACTGGATTCCTTCACAGCCTTTCACTAAAACCAAGTGCAGAAGTCACTGAGCCATTTCTAAAAGTGACCCGATGAACAAAACAAAACAAAGAAATCTGAGGACTGTATAACAGCTAAGAAGGCCAAAAACCACAGAGTTGCATTACATGTAGTGAGAGCACCAGAAATCTGTTTTATTGTCTGTCTTCTAATAGAGAATGAAAAAAAAAAAACCTTTCCATAAACTCCAACTCTGTACCAGCACTTTTAATATTTTATGACAAAATCTCCCTCTTACTTTAAATATAATTAAAATTTCTTTAAGGTTTTCTTAAGCTAAAAAGTGCCAAGGAAGATAGCTAAAATAATCAGAACTGCTTATAACTAGATATTCTAATATCTATGTTATCTTCTTTAGGCTGGTTCTACTTGACATCACATCACTTCCAGAGAGGTCAATGAATCTATCACCTAGGAAATTCAATTTATCTTTGAAACTTCCTAAGCCTATTACGAATAGAAATATTACTGGGCACTGAATTAATGTTACACCTTACTATACTATGCTTTATTAAATACACTGAATGTGGGTAACAAAGTGACTCTGAATGGAAAAACATGATGATCTTGCTTCCCCGATTACCTCTCAGTGTCTCTCTTCCATCTACAAGATACAAAGCGAAACGCTAGACTTTCCTATGAGAGTCTTAGTTACTGTTCTATTGTTATGAAACAACACCATGACGAAGGCAACTCTTATAAAAGGTGCAAAGGTGACCTATAGTTCATTACGATATTATAAACCACTAGAAGAGATTTAAGATTCTAATTTAAGATATGACATGTAACACATAAAGTTGTATGTATGCAGAACCACATATAACAAATATACACAGAAAAGCCAGAGCTATGCAAATAAGCAAAAAATCCACACTAAAGTAACATAAACTGCAACTCTTTGTGCAGTAGGTTGGAAGTTGAGGCCCAGCAGTAGTGAGACACGCCTTTAATCCCAGCGCTCGGGGAAACAGGGGCAGGTCAATCTCTGTGAGTCGAGGCCAGCCTGCTCTACAGAACGAGTTTCAGGACAGGCTCCAAAGTCACACAGAGAAACCTGTCTTAAAAAAACAAAAATAAAAACAAGACACGACTACATTATCTACATGGCTAAATCTAAATCAGCACTCTATGATTATCATCAATAACAGAAGCAACTAAAATTTGAACATTTCAAATACTTTATTTTATACATTACCTGGGTACGGTTTTCCTTAGAATCTGAACTATTAACTTCTGGATGCTCATGAAGGTCTTTTCTTTCCCCCTCACAGACAGTCTGCTTACATGTGGAAGCTGAAAACAAGTTTTCAGCTTTGTGCCTGGTCAAATCCAATGATGTCTGGGAACTTTTCAAGCATTCCTTTTTTTCCGGTTTATTCTTTGATTTTCTAGAATCTACACTGAAGACGTTTCCTTTTACAAGCTTCTGGATGGCGCCAGAGGGCTTTTTGGGAATTTTGAAGCTGATCTTCTTCCTTCCAGAGTCAAACGGTTCCTTGATTATATTGTTGAAATTATAATTCTGAGGAAGCTGATTTTTCTTATATTTCTCTAATTCTTCAGAACTGTCTCTGAGTTTACTGTTCTTCTCTTTCTTGAATTCTTTCATATTCTCCTGAATAAGTGAATGAGGCCAATTCTTTTCCTTTGTCCAGCCTTCAGCTTTAGATTTCGTATCTTTGGTAATTTTAATGCTGTGATGTTTTTTTATTTCATAATCAAGCTTACTTCCCATATTTGTCAATTTACTATCTTTAAGTTTAGTATCTTTAGTTCCATTTGATGAACAACTCTGTGAAGTAACTTGATTGTTATTTGAATATGATGTTACTTGGAGTTTAGTAGGTCCTTCAGTTGAAGAACTGAATTTTGGTCTCTTTCTGGGCGTGTCAACTTCTACATTCGATCTATAAAGCAGCACAGATGTGTTGTATTTGTTTACATACTGTTGAAATGTATCATTATGTTAAGAGTTAACTGGGCTGGTTCTACACTTAAAAGAAACAGGGCTGGAGAGATGGCTCAGTGCTTAGGAGTTCATACCACTCATACAAACGGCCTGAGTTTCATTCCCAGCACACACACTGGGTAGCTCACAATTGTCTGTAACTTAATGTACACCTTATTCTTTTTATATTTATCTCCATTATTAACAAGAAACTCCTTAACTATAAAACTCTTTGACGTTTTTATCCAAAGAATAAAGAAATTAAAGAAAAATAATTTCCTTCTCTCCATCATTCTTCACATTTGTTAGCTGTATTCACATGAAGGCTAATTAACATAATTTTAGAGCCTTGTCTATAATTTAGTAAATTACATGTTCTTTCACAGGTAATCTATAAAAGTAATCTATAAATAATTTCTAAGTAAGCTTTACAAGTTCTCTACAAGCACATAAAATGAAGTCATGTATCTTATTATAATTATGTATCGAAACAGTTCCCTAGAGTTAATAATAATCCATACTGAGTCTGAGTGCATTTCATTTAGACAACAATTTTGATAAATTTGTCTAATTTCACTCAACTTTTCCTTTTTATTTACTTTTTTAATTTTGGTTTTTCAAGACAGGGTTTCTCTGTGTAGTCCTGGAACTCACTCTGTAGACCAGGCTGGCCTCAAACTCTGCCTCCTGAGTGGTGAGATTAAAGGTATGTTACAACCACTAGCTGGCTTTTTGCTTTATTTCCTCAAATGTTTCCTTAAACTTCTAGTAATCTATGATATTACCAGAAATATCTGTATGCAAAACAATACTAAACAAAGTAAATAAAAAGTTTACCAAATTTAAACATTTAGTCTTGGGCCAGCAAGGTGACTCAGTGGGTAAAGGTACTTGCCACCACTAAGCCTGACAACTTGAATTCAATCCCTGGATAAATAATGGCTAAAGAAAACCTACTCATACAAGTTGTTCTCTGATCACCACATACATACCAAAGCACATTTGTACTCCCCAGCATAAAATAAATGTAAAAGTAATTAAAATTTAGATAAACAAATATTTAGTCCAGATGTTTATCATGGTGCCTCAAGATAAAGGAAGAGGATCATGAGTTGAAGATCTAACCTAGGCTACATGACAAGCTCCAGGCCAGCCTGCTCTACATGGCAACAACCTGTCCCAGAATCCTAAGGGTAGGGATATAACCCAATGACAGAGTGCTTGCCTAGCACATACAAGATACTGGGGTTCGAGCCCAAGTACTGGGAAAAAAAATCTTTTAATGTCATTAATTCTGAGTTAAAACTGTAAAAGATGTGAATAAAAGAGAGAATTTACCTTTTCAAATCTTGTTTTCTGTTTGTATTATAGTATAAAATGTCTGTATCATCTGATTTCTGAAATTTAAAAAAAAATTATTTAGAAAATATAAACTGTGTACTGTTGTTACAGTTACAGGGAAGAAGAATGGGAAACGTCTGTGTTCATCAACAGGCTGTCATAATAGTTTACTTAATCTTTCTAATCATCTTGGGCCAGACATTATCATCTTTATTTTATAAACAAAGCACGCAAAGCTTACAGAGTTTGGCATCTTTCTGATCATCACAGTGGAAGTAGGTGGCACTATCATGATCCAAAATACATCTGTCTGACTCAATTCCACTGTCCCATATATGTACTCTGAGGATCCAGACACAAAAAGATAAAGAAGACATAAAGAATATGTATAAAGGAGTCTTATATAACTAAATGTCAAAGTAAAATACAGTCAGTATACGCTAAAATTTCAAAACACCATCACTAAAAGGTGAAAGATACTCGTGAGAAAAGAGAAACAGAACATATGTGAAAGATTGAAAGCAGTAAGTGAAAAGAATTCAGCAGAAAAAATAAATTAACTGAGCTAGAGGGAGAGTGATTTTGTCATAGAGCAAAGAGAGGGAAAAAGAGCAGTGAGGAGAAAATGAATTAAATAGCTAAGATTAGACCAAATTTAATTTAGCAGAGGACAAATAAGAAGATTGGGGGTGCTGGTAGTGTGTATACTCAGCTTGTGTAAGGTCTTGGGTCTAATCCCCTGCACTAGAACACTGATATAAAAAACCAATAAACTGCCAACAAAATCTCCTAGTAATGAAATATATAGAGCCCAAACTGGCCATCTTCTCTAGCCAGGAAGGCTCCTAGCAGTAGGACTGGGAGGTCTATCCAGCTACATCCAGCTACAAAACCTCCAGTCTACAATTTGTCCTGCCTGCGAGATGTGTTAGGATAACGGTGTTGCAGAACTTGTGGGAGTGGCCAACATATGACTGGTCCAACTTGTCACCCATATGAGAGAGAGCCTACAGCCTATGCCTGGCACTGACTGGAGGGCCAGGAACCAGAGGCAGGACAGCCCAGACACGTGGAAAAGAACCAAATACAACAAGCAAAGAAAAAAAAAAGTCAATGAAATGATTTCTAAGGATATTCTGCTATACTCATAGAACAGTGCCTAGCCCAACTGTCATTAGAGGGGCATTATTCAGCAACTGATGCAGACACACACAGTCAAACACTAGGTGGAGCCAAGGCAAACCTGCAAAAACCAAAAAAAAAGGGGGGGGGGCTAGGTCAGAGGGGTAGAGGACACCAGGAGAACAAGGCCCACAGAATCAACTAAGCAGGACTCATAGGAGTTCACAGAAACTGAAGTAACAAACACAGACCCTGCATATACCTTATGGTTGTGTAGCTAAGTATTCTAGTGGGATTCCCAACAATGTGAGTAGGGTGATATCTCTGACACTTTTGCCTGTGCTTGGGACCCTTTTCCTCCAACTGGGTTGCCATGTCCAGCTGTGATATGAGGGTTTGTGCTCAGTCTTACTGTATCTTGTTAAGCCATGTTTGATGGATATCTGTAGGAGGCCTGTTTTTCTTTATTTTTTAAGGGAAACTGAAGAGGAGTTGATCTGGGGGAGAGTGACTAGGAGGAGTGGAGGAAGAAACTGAAGGGGGGCTGTAACGTATGAGAGAAGAATAAAAGTTAAAAAAATACCATTTTAATCTTTTGTAACGTATCTTTATTCTTTTCTTTCTTCCTCTTTCCTTCCTTTCTTTAGAAATAGGAATCTCATTCTACACCCCAGGCTGAACTAGAACTGTATTACCGAGGCTAACCTCAAATTTGCAGGAATCCTCCTGACCTTTAGCTTCCTGAGGACTGATATTCAAGTGTTAACTAGACAGTGGAGGTGAAGACAAGTGAATTCTGGGAGCTCACTGGCCAAACAGCCTAGTCAAATCAGTAAGCTCCTGGTTTAGTGAAATACTGCTTCCAATATAAGATGAGAATGACTAAGGAACACATTCAATATTGGCTTCTTGCCTCCATGTAACATGTACACACAACCACATGAATACACACAGGCACACGTATACCAAGACACAAAATTATACATCCCTGCTTGTAAAAAAGAAAAAAATATTAAAACACAATTCTGTATACCTAGAACTTTAACTACTCCTCCTTTATCCGCCACTTCATCGCAATATCACTGAGATCAATACTTCATGAGTCACCCATAAACTAGCTTCATGTGTTTAATTGGCTGTTGTTTTAACCATTAGTGAAAGAACAGACAGAACTCTAGATTTGGCTCTGTTGCAGCATAATTTTATATTAATGAACAAATTATTTGATTTTGTATATCTCAATTTCTAAATCTGGGAGTGTAAGCAATGTATCTGTTTCAATTACTTCAAAAGGAGAATGTAAACCAAGCCTGGGGGTACATGCCTATAATTTTTGCATTTAAGAAGCAGGAAGAGGCAGGGCGATGGTGGCGCACGCCTTTAATCCCAGCACTCAGGAGGCAGAGGCAGGCGGATCTCTGTGAGTTCGAGGCCAGCCTGGTCTACAAGAACTAGTTCCAGGACAGGAACCAAAAGCTACGGAGAAACCCTGTCTCGAAAAATAAAATAAATTAAAAAAAAAAAAAAAGAAGAAGCAGGAAGACTGCAAGTTCCAAGGTTCCAAATCTGCCTGATCTATGAGCTACATAATAAGACCTTGTCTCAATAAATAAGTAAACTATAAAAATAAATATGACAGTACATATAAGAAGACAGAAAAACACTCTAAATTTATTTTTATGTTCCCTAATGCTATGTTATAGGGTCTACCAACATAAGAAATAAAACCTGCTGGGGTGGTGGTGAGACACACTTTTAATCCCAGCCCTCAGGAGAAGCAAGGTGAGACTGAGGCCAGTCTGGTTTATGTTATCAAGCTCCAGGAGAGCCAAGGCTACATAACGAAAACCTGTCTCAAAAAAAATAAAAACCTGAAAAATAACTTTTGGCAAATAAAAGGAAAAACAAAACACTGGTTTGCTTTCACAAACTAAGCATAACAGAAAAAAGTTACAGAAAAATACAAAGAGAAGTTTTATATCATAGACCCTCTAACTGTACGTTAAAATTTTACTATGTTAGTACTAGTTGCTCTTCCAGAGGACCTGAGTTCAATTCCCACCAACAACATGGCGCCTCACAACCATCTGTAATGAGATCTAGTGCCCTCTTCTAGCCCGCAGGCATACACACAGACAGAACACTGTATAGATCATAAATAAATCAAAAAACAAACTTTACCACGTCTACGTACACTGAGGATCACATGCCTATAGTTTCAACTACTTGGAAGAGTAAAGCAGGACTGAGTCATCTAATAGTTAAAGGCCAGCCTCAGCAATATAGTCAGAGTCAAATTAGAGAGAGAGAGAGAGAGAGAGAGAGAGAGAGAGAGAGAGAGAGAGAGAGAAAGAGAAACAAACAAACAAGCCGGGCAGTCGGGCAGTGGTGGCACACACCTTTAATCCCAGCACTCAGGAGGCAGGAGGCAAGCGGGTCTCTCTGTGAGTTCGAAGCCAAACAGTGAGTTCCAGGACAAACTCCAAAGCTACAGAGAAACCCTGTCTCAAAAATCCAAAAACAAACAAAAAATAATAAAAACTTCAAGATAAATAATATTTATTGAGCTATGGTATTTAAACACTTACCAGTTTTCTCTTCTTGGCTGAAATAGGTTTAATACAGTGTGCTGAACTAATGGAGCCTGCTGAGATTTCTCCCTCCTTGTCCTAAACGTCATTCAGGAGGAAAAAAAATTAATGGAAAAGCACAAAATAAAGCATAATTTATTCACTATTATAAATTGACATTCTCATTTAAAAATGATCTCTGAGGACATCTAGAGACACAAATTTAGTAGGAAGGGAGCTCAATAGAGACTCCATAGAGTCAGTCCATAAAATAAAGCCAGATGTCCCACTTTTCATACTAATAGTGGAAGACTTCAACACCCCACTCTTACCACTGGACAGGTCTGTGAGACAGAAAAATAACAGAGAAATAAGGGAACTAATAGATGTTATGACTCAAATGGACTAAGCCGGCATCTATAGAACATTCTATCCAAACATAAAAGATATATCTTCTTCTCAGCAGCTCAAGGAACCTTCTCAAAAATTGACCACATACTTGGTAACAACAAACCTCAACAGATAAAAAAAACTTGGAATAACCCCATGTATCTTATCAAATCATCATGGCTTAAAATTAGAATTCAACAGCAAAACTAAATCCAGAAAGCCCACAAACATGTGGAAATTAAATAATGCTCACCTGAAGCATCAATGGGTCAAAAAAGAAATAAAAGGAGAAATTAAAGACTTCCTAAAATTCAATGAAAAGGACCATACAACATACCCAAATTTATGGAACAAAATGAAAGCAGTGTTAAGAGGAAAGTTCACAGCACTAAATGCCTACATAACGAGGCTGGAACAATCCCACACTAGTGAGTTAACAGAACACCTAAAAACTCTAAAACAAAAAGAAGCAAACTCACTCAAGAGAACTACACAGCAGGAAATAATCAAATTGAGAGCTGAAAGCAACAAAATAGACAAACCTTTATCCTAACTAATCAAAAGGGAGAGAGAATATCTAAATTAACAAAATCAGAAATAAAAAGGGGGCATAACAACAGACACGGAAGAAATCCAGAGAATCATTAGGTCGTATTTCGAAAGCCTGTACTCCACAAAATTGGAAAACTTAAAGGAAATGTCTTGGAGAGAGTCAGGATACAAAGCTTTTTTGGCATCTAGGAGGAAAGTAAGGATGTCCACTCTTTCCATATCTATCACATATCGTTCTTGAGGTCCTAGCTAGAGCAATAAGACACCAAAAGGAGATTAAGGGGATACAAATCTGAAAAGAAGAGGTCAAACTCTTGTTATTTGCAGATATGATAGTTTACATAAACGACTCCAAAAATTCTACCAAGGAGCTGGGGGGGTGGTGGCGCACGCCTTTAATCCCAGCACTTGGGAGGCAAAGGGAGGTGGATCTCTGTGAGTTCGAGACCAGCCTGGTCTACAGCACAGGCTCCAAAGCTACAAAGAAACCCTGTCTCGAAAAACAAAAACAAAACAAAACAAAAACAAACAAAAAAATTCTACCAAGGAACTTCTACAACTCATAAACACTTTCAGTAATGTAGCAGGATACAAGATTAACTCAAAAAAATCAGTAGCCTTCCTGTACACAGATAATAAATGGGCTAAGAAAGAGATCAGAGAAACATCACCTTTCACAAGAGCCACAAATAGCATAAAATATCTCACAGTAACTCTAACCAAACAAGTGGGGAGCCTTTATGATAAGAACTTTAACTCTTTGAAGAAAGAAATTGAAGACACCAGAAAATGGAAAGATCTTGCACGTTCATGGGTAGATAGAATTAACATAGTAAAAATGGCAATGTTACCAAAAGCAACCTACAGATTCAATGCAATGTCCATCAAAATCCCAGAAAAATTCTTCACAGACCTCGAAAGAATACTCAACTTCTTGAGGAAAAGCAAAAAACCCAGGATAGCCAAAACAATCCTGTACAATAAAGGAACTTCTAGAGGCATCACAATTCCTGACTTCAAACTCTACTACAGAGCTACAATACTGGAAACAGTTTGGTATTGGCATAAGAACAGACAGGAAGACCAGCGGAACTGAATCAAAGACTGGGATATTAATCCACATACCTAAGAACACCTGATTTTTGATAAAGAAGCAAAAAAATATGAAATGGAAAAAACAAAGCATATTCAAAAAATGATGCTGGCATAACTGGATATCAACATGTAGAAGAATGAAAATAAATCCATATCTATCACCATGCACAAAACTCATCCAAATGGATCAAAGACCTTAAATAAAGCCAGCCACATTAAACCTCATAGAAGAGAAAGTGGGAAGTACACTTTAACATATTGGCACACTTCCTAAATATAACTCCAGTAGCACAGACACTGAGGGAAACAATTAATAAATGGGACCTCCTGAAACTGAAAAGTTCTGTAAAGCAAAGGACATGGTCAACAAGACAAAACAGCAGCCTACAGAATGGGAAAAGATCTTCACTAATCCCACATCGGACTAGAGGTCTGATCTCCAAAATATACATAGAACTCAAGAAATTGGTCATCAAAAGAACACATAGTCCATTTAAAAAAATGGAGTACAGATCTAAACAGAGAACTCTCAACAGAGATGAGAACTCTAAAATGGCTGAAAGACACTTAAGGAAATGTTCAACATCCTTAGTCATCAGAGAAATGCAAATCAAAACAACTCTGAGATTCCATCTTATACCTGTAAGAATGACCAAGATCAAAAACACTGATGACAACTTATGCTGGAGAGGTTGTGAGAAAAAGGGAACACTTCTGCATTGCTGGTGGGAATGCAAGCTGGTACAACCCCTTTGGATGTCAGTGTGGCGATTTTAGGAAACAACCTTCCTCAAGACCCAACACCACCACTTTGGGGTATATATCCAAAGGATGCTCAATTGTGCTACAAGGACATATGCTCAACTATGCTCATAGCAGCTTTGTTTGTCATAGCCAGAACCTAGAAACAACCTAAATGCCCCTCAACCGAAGAATGGATAAGGGAAATGTGGTATGTAGGGCCTGGGTCTATCCTTGTTCCTGGGGTGCAAAGACAGTTTCTGGTCAGCTGACAAAGCATTCTGTTTGTTCCTGTGCTTCCTCTGCCCCGCCTGGTGATTAGTTGTAGGGCATTGACTCCATTATTGGTATGGTAATTTCCCACCTGCCTGGTCGAAGGTCTTTGTACAGCAGTTAGATACATAAGGATTTCCCCAAGTTTGAATAAATGGCATTTGGCTGATCTCCTTTCAAATGACCCAGGTCTCTTTGTGTGTTCTTTCAATCTCCAGGCCCTTGCCCAACTCACATACGGTACAGTGGTGTGTGAACTGTACTGAGGGTGTAATACAAAATCGGGTGTTACAGTGGTACATTTACACAAAGGAGCACTACACAGCAGAAAAAAAAATAACAACATCTTGAAATTTGTAGGCAAATGGATGGATCTAGAAAATATATTGAGTGAGGTAACTCAGACACAGAAAGACAAATATTATATGTACTCACTCATAAGTGGCTTTTAGACATAAATTCAAGAAAACCAGCCTACAATTCAGAATCCCAGAGAACCTAGACAACAATGAGAACCCTAAGAAAGATATACATGGATCTAATCTACATGGAAAGTAGAAAAAGACAAGATCTCCTGAGTAAATTGGGAGCATGGCGATCATGGGAGAGGATTGAAGGGGAGGGGCGATAGGGAGGGAAGAAGAGAAAAATGTATAGCTCAATAAAATCAATAATAAGAAACAAGTGTCAGGATGCTTTGTATGAAATAAAATAAAAAAAGAAAGTGGACAAGAAAGGTGAAGTGGTATTAAGTAGGAAGATTTGCAATTTTAAATGTGTTCATACAAGATACCATTGGTAAACTAACAGCTGAATAGAAACCTAAACAAAGAAACAAGGGCTGGGTATGCAGCATGCATAAGGCCCTGTGTTTAATCTTCAGCACTATATATACCATGCACAGTGGCATACATATGCAATCCAAGTACTCAGGAGTTGGAAACAGGATGACCAGATAGATACTCATTCCTAGTCCCCCAGAATTTGAGGCCGGCCTGGATACTTAAGACCCTATCAAAAATAACAAGAAACGTGGCTGGAGAGATGGCTCAGAGTTTCAGAATACATACTGCTCTTACAGTGGACTCATTTGGTTCCAGACACCCGCGTCAGGCAATTCACACCTGCAAATAACTTAGTCTTAGGGGATCTGAAGCCCTCTTCTGGATTCCTCAGCACCTGCATGTACATGTTCAGATATACACATAGGTACACACTTACACACATAATTTCAAAAGATCATTTTTAAAAATGAAACAGTGTATTTTCAATTTAAAGGGAATGACTGACTGACAAGTGAGAAACCCCAGAGACAGAAATGCTCCTAAGAGGCTGGAACAAAAACACCATTAAAGAAGAAAGTAATGTTAAGATGAAATGGGGGCCTTCCCAGTCCCAACAAGAGGCTGTTAACTGTAGCGAGCTGCGTGGTGTCACACCTGATGGAGATGTATAATCAACTCCTGAGATGGCTAAGGCCTGACCTATGCTATGATCACGCAATGATTATCGGCTGCCTGCATATGCGTGAACCTATGGGCAGTGCCCACCTGGCAGTTCGGGGTTGGCAGCCCATGCCTACTTAAGGGCTGGGAGAGGTCTGCCCGGGGAGAGAGGGTAGAGAGAGAGGGAAAGAGAGAAGGAGAGAGGGGGAGAGAGAAAGTGAATAAAGTCCTGAAAACTGCTGCAAGAAGAGCTCCGGGTGTTGCATCAATCATCCTTGCGGGACGAGGGTGGACACGACAGTTAACATGGAAAACCACAAGAAAGTACAGAGCAGAGAAGTGACACAATCTGACTTATACTGTAATAGGACCACATTCATCACTGTGTTAAGAATAAATCATGAGGGAGGCAAAGGCAGAGACAGGGAAGGATCTAGAAATCAATGGAATAACTAAGGAAAACAAGTTCTTTGCTTAGATCATGGTAACAGCAAGGGGGAAATAGTGAGACTCTGAATATGTTAAAAAGGGAAGCAGATAGAAATCACTTATAGACTGGCTGCAGGTACAGGCTAACTACCAATAACTGAAAAAATGGAACTCTAGTTCATTAAATTAGGAAAAGTGAGCTTAGGTACTTGAAAGGTTATAGCTTAAGAAAATGAGTAAGAAAGCTGGGTGTAGTGGCATACCCCTTTAATCCGAAGAAGCAGGTAGATCTCTTGGGGTTCAAGGTCAGCCTGATCTACAGAGTAAGTTCCAGGACAGCCAGGGTGGTAAGTAGAGACACCTTGTCTCAAAAAACTACAAAGAGGAGAGCAAGGGAGGAGGGAGGGAGGGAGGGAGGAAGGGAGGGAGGGAGGGAGGGAGGGAGGGAGGGGAGAACAAGGATAAAGAGCTGTATGTAGTGACACTTGCCTATAACGCCAGCTCTTAGGAAGACTAAGACAGGAGGATGATAAGTCTGAATCTAGACTGTGCTATATTAATGAGGCCTTGAAGATCATGCTTCAAGAAAAAAAAAATACATGGTAGAATGAGCAAAAGAAATATGAGAAACAGTCACCAAGAAATAAGGAAAATTAACAAAGCAAAGTACCCCAGAAGTGAAGTCAGAAAAGGGTTTCAAGGAGAAGGTATAACTGACTACAGCAAACACTGCTGGGATGTCAAGGAAGACAACTTTGTCAGAGTTAACTGATGGAGTTAGCAACACAGAAACTACTGCTGGTGTTGCATATACAGAGAAAACTATTCCCCAAGTCTCAATTTCTTATCTGTGATTTGGATAATAAAAGTAAATAACTCATATATTTGTGATAAATTAAGTAACACCAAAAATGGAAAGAAATGGCTTTCCCTTGGGACTGATAGGCAGAACAAAATTCTTAAATGTCATTATAAAATTAAGGTGCTTCTTTTTCATTATATGATTTTTAAAAAGAGGCATCATTAGATCAGCAAATTAAAATTCTTACCTCAATAAAAGTTGAAGAGGTAGTAGTCTGTTTTTTCTGAGACTTTTCTTCTTTCTCACAAGATTCTTTGATAGACATCTTGAGAAACTAAAAGAAACATGCAAAACATATTTTTTTTCTCCACAATAAAAAGTTTATCACAAGCCACTCTTCTCTTAGTTAAATAAGACTCAAGTTTTACAAAACAATTTTCATTTTCTTGCCAAATCCAGCACAGCAAAAGCTAAAACTTGGGGGTTTCTGGGAAAGATCAGTGACCAAAGAGATTCACAGGGACTCTCTGGGTTTCTTTCATTGAAGAAAGCAGAACTTTTATTTTACTGGGAGTGCCAGGCTTAGCTAGAGTTTTGGAGATACAGGCTCAAAGACATCTCAAGGCACCAAAGGGTGCAACTAAAGGCATTTTCCTTCTGGCTATCAGATGACCCAGAAGTTTTCCAAAGACTTGGTAAACCCGAGGGAAGGATTCTGAATTACAGATTGCCCTTGACCCTAGGTATTGCCTTTCAAGGAATTTCTAAATACTCTCAAGATAGTTGTTTGCCCTCAGTGTCTTTTCTTATATTCTCTTGCCTAAAGGTCTGCTCCTTCAGCTTCATCAATCAACTGTTCAGGAATGGTTCTCAAGACAAACCTTTGAAACTCTGCCTTTTACCGTAAGCATCAGATTAGCATTTTGACTGATTATTTTGCCCTACCTACACCTGAAAACATATTAACCATAATTCTGCATTTCTCAACACTATGTGATATTTCAAACAAATGGCATACGTTTTTCTAAGCTCCAGTTTCATCTTATGCAAATAGAAACAACTTATCTCTGAACCTTTTTGTTTTTGTTTTCATTTTGTTTTTAGAGACACAGCTTCTCTGTATGGAACTGGCTCTCCTAGAACTAGCTTATAGACCAGCCTGGCCTCAAACTCAGTGATCCAGCAGCCTCTGCCTCCTGAGTGCATGGATTAAGGTATGCACCACCACATCTAACCCTAGAACATTTTTTAAGAAGCCAAAGAGTACAGTAGATATAAAAATTACTTTGACATTGGTGAGATGGCACAGTGGACAAAAGTCCTTTCCGCACAAGTCTGATGAGCTGAGTTTCATCTCCCAACCCCACAGTAGGAGAGAAGTGATTCCTAAAAGTTGTCCTTTCACTTCACACACACAGTGACAAGCACCCACACTTATGCACACACAATAATAAAACTTTTAACTACTTTGCACAGTTATATATAGTAGAATCTAAATAAAAATCTATGTGGTTGGCTTTCTATTAGACCTAGAGTTCCTTGAAAAGTGTGCTGCATAAAAAACTTGGAAGGGAATTTGAAGTCTGGGGAAGAGACAGAAATCTTTAATAAATAAAAAAAGAAACTTGGAAGGGAAATAGGCTTAATAGATACAACGTGCCTATAATCTCAGCATTTTGGAAGCTATAGCAGGAGGATTGCTCCAAGTCCTAGGCCAGATGGGTCTACATATTAAGTTCTTCAGGGTAAGACTCTATCTAAAAGAACAAAGCAAAAACTGGAGAAATATTCAAGAATGACTAAGTAAATGAATGAGTGAATTCATTCTCCTTAATGTATCAACTTTTTTATTCTGAGTTATTTCCAACTCTTTCCTAAACCACAGATTCTCTGTTCATTTCCTAACCCAGTTTCACTTTTTCAGCCCCACTTTAGACCAAGTCAATACCATTAGCCAATGAGAGAGAGAGAGAGAGAGAGAGAGAGAGAGAGAGAGAGAGAGAGAGAGAGAGAGAGAGAGAACAAAGCAACAGAAAAGAAATGTGCTAAGACAAGCATCGCCATACCTTATGGTCATAAACAGTCTCAAGCTTGTGGGCACTGGTAGTGCAGAGAAGCATCTTGGGGTGGGATATGGTGGTCAAAGATTAGACACATCACCAAGTCTGTGAGGGCAGGACAGAATGAAAGTGAAGCCTGAAGAACAGTTGATAGGTGGCAATGGCAATATGAATATAACGAAGACTATAAGCCAGTAATCCAATTATTCCTGGTTAGTCATAAATCAAATAGGTAAAGGTGTATAAAATAAGATCTCCCAGCATTAGGGAGGCAGTGGCAGGCTACACAGATAGAGCCTGTCTCCAAAAAAACCAAACCAAATAAAATAATATCTAATTCCTGGCTGGCATACCCTGCCCCAAACTCACCAGTTTCCTCTGTACACTTCTCTGGTTCCTACATAACTCAGCCATTTTGGCTCTGCCAGTCTTTTGGCCCAGGCATCTCTCTTGGTTGGTGGCTCCTCTCCCCTCCCCTCTCTCCTCACGCATCCTGGCTCAGAGTCATAGTCATTCTAGAGTCTCCCAGATGTCTCTGTCCCTGCCTATGTTTTCCCTCATATATGTACAATAAACCTTTTCCACCACTGTACCTAGAAGCAGTCATTTCCTCCCCCTCCTTTTCTTTCTTTTTTTTAAAAAATATCTAATGAACTTGAATAAAAGAAAAATGCTGGTAGCTAATGGGGTGAGGAAGAGACAAAATTAACACATGAACAGTTAACAAACTTCTAAGAACAATCTCCTAAGTACCAAAAATGTTTGCCTTCAAGGATAGTCTATGGTAACAGCTCAATTCATGCTTTTTCTCTCTTGTCTAAAGAATTTAATTCCAGTAGCATGGACAATACAATAAAAAAAAAAAGAACAACAAAAACTCGCGAGCCTGGCCTGGTGGCCCGTGATATCTGTAGTCTCAGCTACTTAAAGGCTGAGGCAGGAAGGCAGGAGGCCAGACTGAGTCCAGGAATTCTAAGTCAGCCTGGATTGTTTCTTTTTTTTTTTTTTTTTTTTTTTTCTTTTTGGTTTTTCGAGACAGGGTTTCTCTGTGGTTTTGGAGCCTGTCCTGGAACTACTTCTGTAGACCAGGCTGGTCTCGAACTCACAGAGATCTGCCTGCCTCTGCCTCCTGAGTGCTGGGATTAAAGGCATGCGCCACCATTGCCCGGCTCTTTTTTCTTTTTTTAATATTTATTTATTATGTATACAATATTCTGTCTCTGTGTATGCCTGAAGGCCAGAAGAGGGCACCAGACCTCACTACAGATGGTTGTGAGCCACCATGTGGTTGCTGGGAATTGAACTCAGGACCTTTGGAAGAGCAGGCAATGCTCTTAACTGCTGAGCCATCTCTCCAGCCCTGGATTGTTTCTTAATATAAGACACTGCTTACAGAATATGAGGCTGCCTTTGACATTTTTGCTGATCCACCTCAGTTTGATGTTGTTGCTTTGGATACACTAATATTACCTGAAACTTCTCTTCCAATGAGATAGTAGAAAAAAAGCACCAGACAATGCACTATCCAAGGAAAAGCATCTGTCACAGTTAGGACTTCTACTGAAGAAATAAAGATCATGACTAAAAACAAGCTGGGAAGGAAAGGGTTTATACTTCCATATCACACAGTCCACCAATAAAGGAAGTCAGGGCAGGACAAGGGAGGCAGGAGCTTATGCAGAAGCTATGGAGAAGTGTTGCTTACTGGCTAGTTCAGTCGGCCTCCTCATACACTCCAGGACCTCCTGGCCAGAAGTGATAGCACCCACAATGGGCTTTGGCCTCCCACATCAACTACTAATTTAAAAAGTACCCTAACCCAGTACTCAACTTCATTTGGGAAAAAAAAAAAAAAGCAAAACAATCCTGTACAATAAAAGAACTTCTGGAGGCATCACAATCCCTGACTTCAAACTCTACTACAGAGCTACAGTACTGAAAACAGCCTGGTACTGGCATAAGAACAGACAGGAGGACCAATGGAACCGAACAGAAAACCCGTGTATCAATCTACACATCTTAGAACACCTGATCTTTGATAAAGAAGCAAAAAATATCAAATGGAAAAAAAAAGTATATTTAACAAGTGATGCTGGCATAACTGGATATCAACATGTAGAAGAATGAAAATAGACCCATACCTATCATCATGCACAAAACTCAAGTACAAATGGATCAAAGGCCTCAACAGAAAGCCAGCCACACTGAAGCTTATAGAAGAGAAAGTGGGAAGTACACTTGAATGCATTGGCACAGGGAACCACTTCCTAAATATAATCCCAGCAACACAGACACTGAGAAAACAATTAATAAATGGGACCTCCTGAAACTGAAAAGCTTCTGTAAAGCAAAGGACATGGTCAACAAGATAAAACGACAGCCTACAAAATGGGAAAAGATCTTCACTAACCCCACATCAGAGGTCTGATCTCCAAAATATACAAAGAACTCAAGAAATTGGACACCAAAAGATCACATAATCCAATAAAAAAAAAAAAATGGAGTACAGACCTAAACAGAGAACTCTCAACAGTGGAATCTAAAATGGCTGAAAGACACTTAAGGAAAATCTCAACATCCTTAGTCATCAGAGAAATGCAAGTCAAAAAACTCTGAGATTCCATCTTACACCTGTAAGAATGTCCAAAATCAAAAACACTGATGACAAGTTATGCTGGAGAGATTGTGGGTAAAAAAGAACACTTCTGCATTGCTGGTGGGAATGCACGCTAGTATAGCCCCTTTGGATGTCAGTGTGGCGATTTCTCAGAAAATTAGGAAACAACCTTTCTCAAGACCCAACAATAACACTTTTGGGTATATATCCAAAGGATGCTCCATCATGCCACAAGGACATGTGCTCAACTATCTTCATGGCAGCTTTATTCATTTCCAGAACCTGGAAACAAAGTAAATGCCCCTCGATCGAAGAATGGATAAGAAAAATGTAGTATATTTACACAATGGAGTACAACACAGCAGAAAAAAACCGACATCTTGAATTTTGCAGGAAAATTGATGAAGCTAGAAAACATTATTTTGAGTGAGATAACCCAGACACACAAAGACAATTATCACATGTACTCACTCATATGTGGTTTTTAAACACAAAGCAAAGAAAGCCAGCCTACAAACCACAATCCCAGAGAACTTAGATAACAATGTGGACACTAAGAGAGATTTACATAGAGAAAATCTACAAGGGAAGTAGAAAGTAGAAAAAGACAAGATCTCCTGAGTAAATAGGGAGCATGGGGACCTTGGGGGAAGGACTGAAGGAAGGAGGGGAGAAGCAGAGAGGGGAGCAGAGAAAAATGTAGAGCTCAATAAATATCAATAAACAAACAAACAAAATATCCTAACCAAAAGAAGTGGCACATGCATTTAATCTTGGAACTCTGGAAAAGACAGGCAGATCTCCCTGAGTTCCAGGCCAGCCTGGTCTTTTTGTTTCGTTTTGGGAGGTAGTGGTGGTGGTGGGTATAGTGTTTTATAATGAGTTCCAGACCAACCAAAGCTATAAGGTGAGACCCTGTCTAAAAAAAACAAACAAAAATGGAGACATTTTCTCAATTAAGATTCCCTCTCCCAGATATGTCTCTACTCTATGTCAACTTGACCTAAAACTAACAAGCAAAGCATCCCTGTGTGCTGTGACATTCTTTAAATTCATTTTGCCATAAAGTTTACATTGTTTTATATGCAAATTAAAACAAATAACTTAAGAGGATTTTTTGTTTGAGCAGTTCTCTAGATTCCAGCGACTTAAACTATGGGCTACAATCTTATATTAGCAACATTAAAGGGTTTCTGAACACACAAAGACTAAAATTAATTGAAAGTAGTGTGTAATGAATCCTAGGTGTTTCTGGCTACACTCACAGTCCCTGCATCAAGTGACATCACTGCAGCCTTGAACACAATACAAATGAACTTTGTATTGCACATGCCTTCATACCCACAAAACCCTAGGTAATGCTACATTTAGTACCTTCGCTCATATTCACGGCTGCTGTATGGCATGAACTGCAGTGGTTTTTTTTAAGTTTTTTTATTTTATTTATTTATTATGTATACAATATTCTGTCTGTGTGTATATCTGCAGGCCAGAAGAGGGTACCAGACCTCATTACAGATGGTTGTGAGCCACCATATGATTGTTGGGAATTGAACTCAGGACCTTTGGACGAGCAGGCAATGCTCTTAACCTCTGAGCCATCTCTCCAGCTTGAACTGCAGTGTTTTTACTAGACATGCAAATTTTTCTTTATAGAAACACATTAATAATGGCTTGATTGCAGAAAACAAAGAATTTTAATATCTTCCTACAGCACTCAATTACTACATCTTTGGATTATATTGTTTTAGAATGCTTGCATGCAAATTGCTGTTTGAGTTGCTGACTTTAGTTTCTTTCATATTTCAAAAAAGTTAAATTAATCTTGGTTTGAGATTAGAAAAAAATTTCCAATAATTTTTGAAAGGATCATAGACATATTTCTGTTTGGTACCCATTACATATTTACGTAAAGCAATGTTCTCAGCACTGATTATTATAAAATCAAATAATCATCTCTGAAAAGCTAAAGTACTTACAGTATCAAATATTCAGTTAAGATTTAATTATCTTTTTGTCTTTGATAACTCATGTTAGGGAAAGCTAGACACCAAGTCCTAAATGACACTCAAGTAGCCCACGGAAAGTCACACCCAGCAACCAAAAGCAAGTTTCAGACAACGGAGTGACTTTGAAGCTGACCCTTGTCAACTCTTTACATGACAGTGGACCTAGCAGATAGCTTGGAACTGTATCCTCACTAAATACTCAAAGCCACTTCTGCCCAGGAAGCTAATTTTAATTTTTAACTCCACAAAACATGTGGCAGTTATGTTTATTATTGCTTTAAGATATGGAAGAACAGCTGGAAAATGAAGACAGACATAGGCGTACCTCTGAGTTTGAGGTCAGCATGGTCTAGAAAGTAAGATCCAGGACATCCAGGGCCACATTGAGAACCCTTATCTCAAAAAATAAAAAAAAATTAAAAAAAGATATAAGATAGCTTATTTGGCAATGCAACTGTTTAAGAATACTCTCTTAAGTCTTCAAACTGTTCTTTCATACTTAGGAATTCTGACCTGAAACTGCCACTGAATCCCCTTGCTACCATTAATTTAGTGTGTTGTTTAGATGGCATTAAGTGAGATTAAAATATTGAATCAAGCTTTCAAATTAAGAATCTAACTGAATGCTGAGGATGTCTTTTAAAGATAAGATACAGTGCTTGCTGTCCGTACCCAATGTCCTGGGTTTCATCCTCAACCTCGCAAGGGCTGCTAAGAGCACAGGAATGAGGGGTGGGGTGGGGGTTCAGGAAATTAAAAATATTGTCAAGTTTTGGATGGTACACTGATATAGTTAACATTTCTTTAAGTTGTAACTGGTGCCATTATCTCATTTCTAATGACTGTTAAACAGTCAGTCAACTCTACACACAAGAATACTCATCAAGGGCTGGAGAGATGGCTCAGAGGTTAAAATGCTCTTCCAGAAGTTCTGAGTTCAATTCCCAGCAACCGCATGGCTCACAACCATCTCTAATAAGATCTGATGTCCTCTTCCGATGTGCAGGTATACATGCGGACAGACTACAGTATACATAATAAATATTTTTTTTTAAAAAAAAAAAGAATACTTGTCAAAAAGAGGTGACAGATTGACAAAAAGGGTTTTAGCTGTCTTGTAGTATCAGGCCTCTGCCCTACAAGCTTGTGAGCTAAGCAAATACTCTACCACTGAGGTAAGCACATTCGCAGCCTTAAAGGGACTTTAGAACTTGCAGAAGATTCCTGGACAATCTGTTTACAATAAACCGGGAAAGGAAAAACACCTTCAAACACACTTTCTACTTAGGAAGGGCAATGAGAAGGTGAACTTCCAGACGGCACTTCACGGGGTCACACAATCAAGTGTCATTTCTTACGCTTTCCCAACAGAGGAGGAAATAGACCAGTGAGCAAAGACTTGACCCTATTAAGCAAAGACTTGACCACCCTGGAAGTGTGGGTTTTATACATGCCTTTAACATTCAAGACAGTCCCAAGCGGGGCAACCAAAAAGGAAATTCATTTTTTTGTTGTTTTGTTTTGTTGTTCGTTTGTTTTGCTTTTTTTCCGTCTGCTCCAATGTGCGTCTCAGAAATAAAGAGAAAAAGAACGAGTAAGGCTTCAGTGCCAAACAAGCCCAGGATAAAAACGATAAAATCTGGGGTGCGGAGGATTCACTGGTCACCTACCTAGGAGAATCTAAAATGCATCTAAGTGTCCCATGCGCGGATCTGTTTTTAAAAGTCTAAAAACAGGTCCAAACAGCAAAAACCATCTCCCACAACCACACCGCGCTTGTTCTGGTAACAAGGAGGCAAAACAGTAAGAGAAAAGAGAGGTCTGCTCAGAAGCCTGAGGAAAGTTGGGAATGGAGAGCGGGAGCAGACCCAGGGCTCTTCCTCAGCGCGCCTGACTGAAAAGCGCCACTGCGACCCCTGCACAGCCTAGGCCCACCCCCTCGGAAGCCGCCATCCTCCCCCCACCCACCCCCCCACCTCCCGCCTCAGCTCAGCTGGAGCAACCTGGCTTCCAGTCACACCCTCCACAGAGCGGGGCCGACAGCCGGCCAGCCCACAGAGTCGTCCCGCCACACCTCGGCCCGCAGTTCCCGAGCCCGACAGGCATCTGGGTACCCGAGCCAGGAGCGGAAGGCTATAGCCCAGCGAAAAGCCGTGAGTCCCGAAAACCCTTACCGGAGGCGGAGGCGGCGGCAGCGGCGACTCCCAAGCCCCCGCGGGTGCCAAAGACGCCTTCCTCGATTCCGCTGCACGCTGGGAAATGTAGTTCTGTGCTCTGACCCAGCCAAGCGCCGAACACTCCAGGGAATTCTAGAGTTCTCGGAGATCTCTGTATACTTCCTCCGAGGACCGGAACCGAGCCCCTCCCGGGGTGGGACGCGATGCTCCTGGGTATTGTAGTCTTAGCTCGGTTCGGTGGCTGCCAGTGGAGCCCAGAGGCACCGAGGAAACGGAACTCTTACTCCTCATTGGACAGTGTCCGCGACACGCTTCTGCGCAGTCTGTGGTGGCGTCGTAACGCCTCAGGGAAGGGGAAGTCAGTGAAGGCTCGCACCGCTGCCTCTGGCCCTCTGTTTTTCGGCTGGCAGGGTTGTGTCACTGGCGCTTCGCTGTTCGTCTGTGGCACTCGTGCAGCCTTCCCATTTGCTTCCCCCGCCCTGGATCCAGCCCTGTGGGCATTAACGCCAATTCTCTTGCTCCGTCGCGAGTCCCCTCCGCGACCCCTGGCACGGAGGCCGTAGCTATGGAGAATATGGCGGAGGAGGAGCTGCCACCCCAGGAGGAGGAGGAGGCCCAGGTCAGGGTCCCGACCCCGGCCCCGGCCCCGGAATCGGCTCCGGTCCCAGCTCCGGCCGCAGATTCGGCTCTGGACTCGGCTCCGACGCCGTACTCGGCTCCAGCCCCAGCCCTTGCCCCGGCCCCGACTCCGGCCTTGTCCCCGTCCCTAGCCTCTGTCCCCGAGGAGGCTGAAAGCAGTAAGTGTAGACGGCCTGATCTTTCTGCCGCAGAGAAGCGAGTAACCGTTCCTCGCTGGGGAGGCCCTTCTCCGGGGTGGTTTTTAATGTGGAGAGGCAGATTTAGGGAAACGGGAGGAGGAACGAGAGCGGCAGGAAGGAGTACAGAAAGGAAGAGGGTACCTCCGTAAACCTCGAGGACATCATCGTGAAAGATACACGAAGGCCAGGGGTGATGCAGACAAAATAAACACAGATTAGTGGCTGTGTCGGTTAGTGTGTCTAGTAGTTTCCGTCTCAACCCAGTCTACAATAGTTAAATAACTCCTTTCAAGTGTGGTACAGTAACGGAGGCAGCCTCTGAGGTGAGAGCCTGTCAAGATTTAGAAACTGTAAACTGATTTTTCAATCAGGACGTACATACACACACACACACACACTCAGGTGAATTTGTCTTACTAAATTTTCTGTAGAATATCTTGCTTCCCAAAAGAATTTGAAATCCATATGCTGTATGGAGGAGGACCTGCTAAAAGCCAATTGAACTTTGTTCTTCATTCCATCAGAAGACAATCGTGAAAACTTAATAGTCAATACTTTCCCTGAATGCGTTTATATGTGCTCTGAGTGGTTTACTGGATCATATAGGAAACACAATATTGATAATTAGCACTTTAAGGACCTTTAAAAAAAAAAAAAGACCTTAACACTATACAGTGGGCCTAAGCGTCAACAAGTTCGTTCAACAAATCTTGTACTCCATAAATTGATCTTTATACTCTTTCCAAATTATCACTCATGAGAAATTAATACATATATACGATTTCTAAACCAGCTTGGGGTTTGATGTATATAGAACAGTCATAATCTAAGAGAATTATTTTGCAGTTCTAAAACTACATTTAAGAGTTGTAAGGCTAGTCACAGGCAAAACAAAATCAGCCGGTGGGCTTCTGATCATTTGAAGTGACAGGTTGTAGTGGAAAATAAAGCCTTTATTTCTTTTTCTTTCTCTCTTTACAGTCTGATAGACAGGGAGTTTCATACTCTTAAGGAAGTAGCTACTGCCCTCCTGATTATGTTTAAATAGAAGTAGTTCAGCAATTTGGGGAACGCATGCCTTCTTCACCCCCTTGACATGGGGCATTGATAGTGGCTCCACGTGGTAGTGCATGCCAGCAATCCTAGCATTTGACAGCCTTGCAGGAGGGCTGTTAAATTTTTTAATTGATATTTATTGAGCTCTACATTTTTCTCTGCTCCCTCCCTGCCTCTCCCCTCCCCTCTTCAGTCCTCCCCCAAGATCCCCATGCTGAGGGCTGGCAAATTAATTAGAGATCAACCTGGTCTCTTTAAGGAGACATCTTCTCAAAAGTGTGGTATAAGTGTTAGGGGACAAGGGTTGGAAACATTTGCATTATAAATGCTAAAATAAAAGTGTAGCCTGAAGAATATGCTGTTTAAGAATGCTTCAAACGCATACTAATCATCTAAAAATGTATTTGCAGTTGATCTAGTTATCCTTTGACGTTAGTCATAGCAGCCAGGCAAGATGAAGATGGCAATTCTGAACTAGAGTTGAAAATTGAGGAAAAAGTAACAGAAGCTGTGAAAGAACCTTCTACTATATTTGGTTTATCTGATTTAACAACAGGTTTGCTTTCTTGATTATGAGTATGTTACAAAAAGCAAGTTGACTGCTTTAAATACAGAATGATATCGACCATGTTGAGCCAAAAAGTGATTTTACAGATACTTTTAGGCTTATCACGAATTTTCAGACAAGTTTTTTTTTTGGTTTTTTTAATTTTCTTCAGTAGAGGACAGCATTTTCAGTTTGCCTCTCCTAACTTAGGCTCTTTCTCTTGTTTTGCACTACCTGGCAGAACATTTTAAGCACACCTTTATGTGTACATGTGGATTCTTTTTTGACCATTACTATCAATTCTAAAAACTAAGGATGCTTTTTCCCCCCTATATCTCATTTTAACTTTTTGAGCACGGCCTGGTATGTGAAGTTAATCAAGCCTGTAATCCCAGCCTTTGGGAGACTGAGGTAGGAGAATAATGGATTTCAAGCCAGCATGTGCTGCATAGTGAGTTCCAGTCTTAGCTTTACTTTGAGCCCTATCTCGAAAAGTAAAGTAATACAGTATTTGTCACTCTGCTTTTGCTTAGGAAATTGTCTTTTGAGCAGAAATGTCTGATGGTGTTTGATTCCAGAAGTTGTGATAAAAATGTGCTGCTACCTTCAAAAAGTAATGGTTGCCGGGCAGTAGTGGCGCACGCCTTTAATCCCACTTGGGAGGCAGAGGCAGATGGATCTCTGTGAGTTCGAGGCCAGCCTGGTCTACAAGAGCTAGTTCCAGGACAGGCTCCAAAGCTACAGAGAAACCCTGTCTCAAAAAACATTTTTTTAAAAAAAGGCTAATGATTTTTAAAAACTACTTAACTATCTTAGTGCCTGCTGAGTACCAGTTCTGTGCTTGACATTTAGCCACCAGAAGGATAAATCAAGTACAACTTGCTGCCTTTTTATTGTTTACTATGAGAAAGAAGGAAAAAAGGACACAGATTATGCACATGTGTGAATGAGTGGACTGAGAATGGAACTGGTGGACAGGGAGGTGGCGGCATCAAAAATTGAATTAAAATATCTGAGGCTTTAAATTATCTAGCATATTGACTGAGCCTGAGATTTATTCCATTATCTGTTTCTCTGTCCGGTAACATCCCCTGGCCTTGTGCGTTTGGGTTCCCACTCTGTAAGTATTCCTTTCCTTTGGAATGCCCATGTATTCAGAATGCTTCATCCTTAGGAAGAACAAATTGCAGTTTTATCTGTTTCCTTTTCTGCAGTGCCAGAGTCCTGAAACGATATCTGCACTGGTTTTTGTGCTGATATTTTATTTGTATTTTAATAAATAAAAGCTTGCTTGAAGATAAGATTGCA